GCTACCTCTGAATTCATTTGCTGTTCCTTCTGTGGCCATGGTGCTTCGGCCAACTGGTCTCCTGACTGTTGTTTCTGAGCCCGTGAAACCACCGGTGTTGGCACCTTTGCATTTGCTGTTTCTTCTCCCTGGAATCCTCTCCCCTCATATATCTTTGCCTAGATGTCAGCTTCTTGAAGATGTTTCCTGATCATTATAGTTGAAATACTAGCTCCCATCACTCATCAACCTCTTGAGTTGACTTTTTATTTTATCTTTAAAGCCTACCACAACCTCAGATGTTAAATATCTACGTTTAATTATGTCTCTTGTTAAAATATAAGCTGCACCTGGGCAGAGACTCTTGTCTGATGTTAGCTTGGTAGGCCTACTGCCTAGAACACTTGTAGTACGTGTTGAATTAGTGAATGGATTTTATATGCCTTTGTGATTTTCCTTTTCTCTTTTCCGCCTCTTCCGTCCTTAACATGTCTTTGAGAATTACTTCCATGCTCATTTTCTTCTGCTGCCCTCAATGATCTTTCTTCTCTGAATTAATATAAAACTTCTACTTTGTTTTACACTTATTCCTACAGAGTAGAGGACTGGGTCTCAACCCTCTTCTAATACATAATTTTGTATGGTGTTGCCACTCAGTTGGGTGTGAGGGCTACTAGTTGCATGAATTAAATAGGACTCATTTAATAAATGAAGTACTTATTATTGGCCTGAAAATCAGAGATTGTTTATTGAGAATATATGTGTCAGCCCTATTCTGTTTTATTTTAATGAGTTAATTTACTATTTGACTAATAGTAGGTACTATTATTGTTTCCATTTTATAGACAAGAAAAGCCAGGAAGGTGACAGCTTAAAGTGTGGTCCATGAGCTAGCAGCACCTGCCTAATATAAATGTAGACTCCCAGCCCCCCCCCCCCCCCCGGCAATACCTACTGAATCCAAATTTTAAAATAATGATTATACTTTGGCCCCAAACTTGGAGATGCAGTAAGAGCTTTAGTAAGGCCAGCACATTAGTATTTTTTAAAAGCTCCAGAGATGATTGTGATGGTGATCAAAACTGAGAACTACTAAGGTAGAGCCTTGTTATTGGTGTACCATAAAATGCAGTGAAATATTACTGAAACACTTAAGTGATTTGAGACCCAAAATCTTCTTAAATATAAGATTAATAGAATTATAAGAGTAATTTCTAAAACTAATCACCTTTTATTGACTTTTTCATACCATACCATGTTTTTTGAGATAGGCACAAGCAACCTCATTTTAAGTACTTCATTAGTATTATTCTGTAAAACCATAAGGCAGCTTGCTATAAACATGCTTGCTTTGGTAGGCTTAACACTGGATCCTGATTTATTCTTTTTCATCAGTCTTACAAATTAACTTAATTGTGGGCCACAGGAAATTTTTAAATTATCATGTCCTTGACCTTTGGGATCCCTTAGAATAGTCTATACTCCCCAGAAGTGTTCAACTTTATATGTGTGCATATCTGGTCTGCCACCTGGGATTGGATGTTATACTAATTTGCAACCACCTTTATATGGAACTTGGCATAGGGGTGAATAAATACAGCAGTGTGACATTTAAAACATGTATTATTCATTAGTAACATGGTATTTGAGGTAGCTATAGCATAATTGCATGGTAGTTAGATTCAGCTTCCTGGGTTCAAATTCTGGCTGTGCTGCTTTCTAACAGCAAGAGCCAGTCAAATTATTTATCCTCTCTGTATGGAGATTCCTTGTCGGGGATAGTAATAGTACCTATAGGATTAAACTAATTAGTAAAGTTAGAAGACGTAGAATAGTGTTGGCATGTCATTGCTCAATAAACAATTTTTTATTCTTTGGCCAATAATAATAATTGCCCCATTTATTGAATGTTTCTTATTAACAGTCCTTAATGACAGATGAGGAAATGGCCATGCAACTAGTAGTTGACAGAGTGGGATTTATACCCTGGTGTACTTAATCTCTAAAGCCCATGTCTTTCTAGATAATGGTTTACTGCATCTTTCTAGACCATGGGTATCAGGATTTAGAAACAGTAGCAATGCGATTAAAATATTATCTTGCCTTATAGTTTATATATTGTTTTTACCTAAATGGTGTGATTTGATACTTGAGCCAGCTCCATGGAGGATAGTAGGGCATTATTCTCATTTAACATATGAAAAATGAAGTCTCAGAAGATTTCCAGGGTCACAAGCTCATCTTCTGTCTCCTAAACAAATGTTCATTTGGGTAGTTTTTCTTACACCTGGTGGAGCCCTTATATTCCTTAATGGAGTATTATATGTGTCTGGAAGCATCATAGCTAGTACTGTACTTTTTATATGTCGTAGTCCTTGATTGCCCAAACAGCCAATAAACTCCTTGTTTTGATCTCACATATTCACTCAGTCATCTGCCACCCATCACCACCTGCTCCTCTGCACACATGCAGATGCATTGAAGCATCTGTTACAGGGAGGCATTGCAAGGTATGCCCGAGCTGTTCCTTGCCAGTCTGGTTTCTGCTTGTCACCTCTTCCTGATAACTTGGGTATGCACAGAGTTGGGGGTCAGGACTCAAGCTACCATTATCTCATAGTGAAGCCTTGCAGAAGTCTCTCATACCTGGAGGGTGTTTTTTCTCCCCCTCATTTTTTTGAAGACAGGATTGAATTGGATGATTTTTAGGGTAACTTCTAGCTTTAAATCTTTGTTTAGTTTTTTGTAGTAATGTCATTACTTTGGTTATGTTATGTTCTTTCTAGGTAGTAAAGCAAATTATAGCCCTGTTTTTTACCATTGTGAGCAAGAATGACAAAAGAGGATTCAGAGTACCTAAGGTTTTTAGTGAGTTTAGCTGCAACTACAAATGGTCATAGAATGGCCAGTTCCCATCCAGTTTCTTACTAGTCAGATTAATCACATACTTGAAATAATTACTCATAGTGGTTTAGAATAACTTTTTAACTCAGACCTTTCCATTGTAGTTTTCACTAATATCAATTCAAGAAAGTTGCCAGGTTTAGAGTAGCACTAAAAGAGTAATTCAGTTATTAATTGTTAATTCCTTGCTTTCTCTTAGCTCTTATCAGTCACATTGATTATATTATGCTTTTTCTATGTCATACATGGTGCATCAATAAACAATGTTCTTAACATTTTTGAAGAATATGGTATCAGAAGTATCATTACATAGAGAACTGTGACTTCCAGGAAAGCGATGCAGAGGCTGTCATTCCTGTTCCATCATGATCAGTTACAGGAGAAAGAATAGCATACAGAATTAGAGGTAAAACATGGATGTAGTAGTCCAGTAGGTGTCTCCAGAAGCCTGCCCAAGTTTTTAGAGAGGAACGTACCTCAGAGACCAGGCCGGCAGGTACAGCAGTCACGGTGTCAGGGCCTCTCCTGTGATAGATGCTTCAGCACATTTGTGTGTCTGTGTGGGGGTGGAGAGGTAGGCAGCGAGATAGGTAAGTGAAATGTGTGAAATCACAATAAGAAGTAGTGGAATATAAAAACAGAAAAACAAATATTGGCAAGAAGGGCAAAATAGCAGATAGAGGAATCAGGAATGTACTTGAACGTAACGGGGTAAGCCAAAGGGGCAGTCCCAGAGCTCGAAGAGAAGGCGTGAAGGCCTGGGTCATTAGGTATGTACAAGTTTCGGTGTTTGCAGAGTATAATGATAGTTTTCTAAACACATTCGAGGATGTTATTTTGTATGGTCTTTACAGTAAACCTAACAGTGGATATAGTAAATGATTGTCCCTCTTGTCTCTTCAAACACAAATTGGGAGAGTACTTTTTTTTTTAATCCTCACTAGAGGATATTTTTTCCATTGAGATTTTTAGATAGAGTTGGGGGGGATGAAGTGGGGGGGAGAGAGAGTGAGAAAGAGAGAGGGAGAGAGACACATCAATTGGTTGCCTCCCACACAATCCCATCCAGGGCCAGGGATCGATCCCATAACAGGTATGTTCTTTTGATCGGGAATCGAACCTGGGAATCTTCTTTCTGCCGGCCAGTGCTCTAACCACTGAGCAAAACTGGCCAGGGCTGTTTTTGTTTTGTTTTTAAAGTCACACAGCTCTGAGTAGCTTTGCTAATAACCAGCTATCTGAGTTATCCAACATTTTACTTATTTTACCTCAATTTCCTCATTTATAAGATTTGAATAATAATTGTACCTAATTCATAGGGTGAGAAATAATGCTTTATGAAACACATAGCATGGTGCTTGGCATATGGTCAATACCAATAAATGCTGGATGTCGCTATTGTTTCTATTATGTGAGCTGCAGTTTGAATAATGACATTCAGAAAATTTTATTTTCCACTCGACTATATTGCATCTTTTAGAATGTAAGTGGGTTAGTTATGCATGTATGTTTCCACATGTGTATTTCCAAAGTGATTTTAACCCACAGTAAGCTTGTCTACTCAAAACATTTCACCAAGTGTTGGGAGAGTCTACATCTCTTTTGATATTTCTTTTTGTTTTTGACTGAAAATCACATTTTACCTTTTGTGCTTTTATATTTTTACTTTTATATATATTCAATTTTACTTTTATATTTTTCTACTCTTTGTAGAAGGATGTGGAAAATGGTTTGTAAAATAGTCATGACATCTAGAACTATATTAGATTCTTTATATATTTTATATGTTTAATAATGTTACCTCTAGTGACAGAGCTTCTTTTAATAGTGTTTTTGTCAATATCTAACATAATAAATTTATTCTTCTGTAGTCTTTGTGTAGTTAGTTTTCTGGTATAGAAAATATGATTTAAAAAATTTCCTATGACAGCATAGGTATTTCTAATTATTTTGCCTACAGTGCAGAAATTTGATTCTTCCCTCAGATCCACATTACAGTAAATCCTTGGCATTTCCTGCATTTGCCTCTCTGATTTCTTCATGTTTACAGAAATTATATAAGTTCTTAAATGACTTTGCATTGTGTTGAAATAACAGATTATCATTTTCCTATCCAGACTGATACTGCTTGAACATACAAACCATCCAGCAGGAAGTATTTTGCATATTCTCAGGATATATAGCTTCTTTTCAAACCATAATACTGGGTGGACTGCACATTTCCAAAACAAGTCTGTTTCTGGGTCAGTGTCTTATACTTAATTGGAACTTGTTTTTGCTATATTAACTCTTACCTTGGAGAGTATAATTGCTAACTTTAACTTTTTATCTAGGGGTTTGTTTTTTCAGAGCTCTCAATCAGATCCCCATAGTAACGCTTAGTTATATGCCCTGGTACCTCAACATTTTGTTCTGGAGAGATCAAAGTATTTCAGCTTTGTTGGCCATTTTAATTATTGCTTTGAATGCATTTTTCTCGGTATCTCTTCTTAACAGTTTTTTCTCATACAGAATTCTGGTGTTGCTCCTGGCTTTCCCAAGGCAAAGCTACATAGGGCTTGTCCAGCTTCTTTTTAGGTTTGGTGAAATTTCTTCCACCCAAGTAGGGGGAGAAGAAAATTTATCATGTGTGTGTCTGTCTTAGTGCATAAGAGTGAGTGTCTTGGTATGTAAGAGAAAAGTACAGGCTTCCGAGTCAGATTTATGTTCAGATTTCAGGGCCAGCCCTTCTTAGCCATGTGACACTTAGGTATATTATTTTACTTTCTTGCTATCAGCTTTATCATCTATAAAGAGGATTACTGATATCTATCTCACAGAATTGTTCTGATTTTTACTTAAAAGAATTTCTAGCACATAGAAGATGATCAGAAATGATACCCCTTCCTAGGCAATAGGTTTTATTTACTGAAGAAAAGCTTATATATTTAGAAATAGTGGGAAATATCCATCCAATCCAAGTATAATAAGTTATTTATTATCCTTTGAAACCAGTACTTTGAAAAAGCTATAAATAGGTTGTGCAAATGGTGGTATTATTTTACTTGGACTCTGGTGTGTTGAAATGTACTCAGGAACTTTGCTATGTTGATATAGGCAGTTGAGTTAGTTGCCAAATGGATTTTAGTGGTTTGATATTCATCTTACTCAAAGCTAAAGGACCTGGAATGGTTCTCTAGCCACTAGTTCGAGTTGAAAGCATCTCGGGCAGATTTTTACACAGAGAGAACATAGCAGATATTTGGTTAGCTTTTATGAGAATTGCTTGCTGTAATATTCTTTCCCCAGGCATTTGTACACTTTCTTTTCAGTACTTGAAGTAGTATTAAATACTAAGCAAGAATTCTAGTGTAAAGGGTCACAGAGTCCAAATATTATATCATTGATACTTGTAATATTTGCTTATGTGTAGTTATATGAAAAGTCCTAAGATATAGTCTTGCAACCAGTTTGATCTTTTTATGGAATTGCTTTAGGAACATGTACTAGTTAATTCTGCATTTTGTATAGTTATTTCATATGTCCACTTCCCCTAGATAAATTGATTTAAATCATCAGGAATGTTGGGATTAATGTCATATTTCTTTCTATTTGCAAAGTACTATTTTTAAATGAAATAGGACTGGTATCAAAGGAAGTCTTTTTCCTTAGCTCCATCCATTACTTTCCACTGCTTTTTCTCTAATTGAAGAAAGAAAATCTAAGGATGGTATCCATGCATTGTTTTATATTCTCAATTGATATAGCACTAATATAAACAGAAAAAGGAATAATATCATGGTTGTACATTTAGTTTTAATCATATTATTAATTGCTGGACATATTGCATAAATGCCTTTCATTCTAGATCACTATAAGCTCTTAGTACTTCTCCCTCTTATATTTCTATGTCTGAATTTTTAATTGAAGTGAGCCATTGATGAATCAAAATTTGATACAGTACTGAATTCATGTTTTGCTATCTTATAGAGCATAACTTTATTGTTTATTGTTGTGTGCTATGTGAAAATGACTGGATCTTTTGGGACCAAAGTGCTAAGATTGTATCCGTCACAGTTTTATATAACAGTTCAAGGCCAATGTCTTTTCTGAACAAGGAAAATATTTTAATTTAGGAACTGCACATAAGCCAGATATGCTTACTTTTCTCTTGGTACATCAGTGTCCTAAAGCTTTTAGGAGAAAATGGTTTAAAAAATTGTTTTTATGTCTAGATTGTAAGTAAAATCACTTGTCATAGTGAGTTGCAAAATGTAGACTTCCATTCTCAAGCTGCCTGTTTCTCATTTAGATCTGACATATTAAAAAGCATATAATTAATGGTTGACATTAGTAATTAACATTAACTTTATGGTGCTTAATATGCCATCATTCATCCATCAAATAACCAGAAATGCATAATGTCTTGGCATAAAGGTTTTAATTATATAAAATGGTCCTTCCATTTTCATATGGTATAAATGTTAAAAGTCCAAAATGTATTTAAAGACGGTTTTTGTAAGCATTTGTTGGGTGTTAGCTATGTTGTTATTTCTTTTTAGGAATATGCGTCAACAGTTGTGTCAGGAACTTCAAAAGGAAAACGTGGAGCTAGCTGTGCAGTTTTCATTGCCGGCTAAAGAGTGCCACCTTGCTGCAGCTGCCAGTGCACTGTGGAGACATTTCTTTTCATTTTTGAAGAGTCAGAGAATGTCACAAACAGTGCCGTTCTCACAACTTGCGGATGCTGCTGCAGGTCAGCTTTGTGATTTGCTAATTAGTTTCTCATTTTGAAAACTCTTGTCAGTTTTTTCTTCTGTTTGGTAACAAACTATTATTTTATAAGAGTGTAATAAATATTTTGACAACCAGAAAGATGAAAAAAATTACCTATTGTAAAATTAGGATCCTTTGGCTTATTATTTTCCTCTATATAAAGGTAAAAATAAAATGGTTAACTGCTAAAAATAAGATAGTTTTCAATCTTAAAAAATTATTGAGTGTGCATAAACTTTCCTTATGCATTCGGGGTTTGGAAAGTAAAGTAGCATTTGATTTATTCTAGTCCAGGTTGTTTATTTTCAAATTATATGTGTCCATAATCTCAGTAATAAATGAACTTAACTTGTGTAAAGAGCAAAACGATATAGCAGGAATTCCACTTCAATACCAAGCAGGTGAAATCAGAATAACATCAAATATATGCAATGTTATTGTTCTGAACATTACTAGATTCTATTTTAGGTTGTAATTTTTACTTAATTTGATTAGCCTAATGACATGGCTTTAGGCTTTAAGGGACTCTGAGTCATATGACATTGTAGGCAAGAATTTGAATATATGTGCATATATGCAGTTTTCTGAGAGTGTTCAAGGGCTATTTTGCCAAAAATATGTTAACAAGGACTAGAATAGACAGAGATCAACATGGTGACTACATGTCTTCAAATGCAACTTATATGAAGGTATTTCATTGTAATGCTTTAAAAAAAAAACCTAAGATCTAAACCAAAGTTTATTTTACCCTTATGTGAATGAGGAAAGCTGAGCTAAAAGCACCACATTAAAGACTGTATGATACAAGTTTTAAAAGATCTCAAATTCTGGTAGCATTTCCATAATTAAAATATAAACAATAATAGATTGAAAAATTGTGACAGGGCAATGGTTTTCCAACTACTATAATGTCTGTGAAAAAAAAAATTGATATTCAATCAGTATAATCAAAGCAGTCATTAGTAACCGATATTACTTATCTTTCTTCTATTCATCATCCCAGGAACTTAAAAGATATCACGTGTTTAGTTAGTGCTGTCCTAGGTGCTGAAAGTAAATGGTATATAAATATAAACCAAAGTATGTGTGGGTTTGGGGTTTGTTTTGAAATAAAGATAGTTTAGGAGGTAAAATTTGCCTGCATTAAAATAAATAAATAAAACAGTTGATGAATATACATTTTTATTGCCATCGGTGAAATACCAGTAGGAAAAAGGACTGTAATTTCTTTTTTTTGGTGGTTGTTATTAATCCTCACCTGAAGATATTTTTCCATTGATATTTAGATAGAGTGGAAGGGGAAGGAGACAGACATGGATGTGAGAGAGACACATTGATTGGTTGCCTCCCACATGACCCCGACTGGGGCTGTGATCGAACCTGCAACCCTTAGGTCCACTCCTGAGCCAAACCAGCCAGGGCAGGACTATAATTCTGTTTCTCATGTATAAGCTACATGTTCTCATGGAGCTTATAGTCTAGTGGGGAGAGAGAACAATAAATAAATAAGTGACGTGTAATATGTAATAAGTAATAAGTGTCGTGGAGAAAAATAAAAATATAGAAGAAGATAGGGAGAGGGAAGGCCAGAGGCAGGTTGTAATTTTAAATAGAGTAGTCAAGAAGGCCTGAGTAAGTACCATTTGAGCAAACCTAATGGGGGAGAGAGACCCATTCTATTCAGAAGTCCAGGGGCCAGAGCATCTCTGGTGTGATTGATAAACTATAGGGAAGCCATAAAAGCTCATGTGGTATAGAAATGGAGTGTAGTCAGAGATTGATCAAGAGGTAATGAGAGCTTGCCCTGGCCAGTGTGGCTCGAGCTTGTTTGTATTCTGCCTTGTGTGCAGTTGTAAAGACTTTCACTTTTACTCTGAGATTGCAAGCTGTTGGAAAGTTTTGAGCAGATGAGTGATATAAACCCTCTGGCTGCTAGACTGACAATAGACTGAAGGCAAGGGGAGAAGCAGGGAGGCCATTTAGGGAACTGTTGCAACAACATAAAATGAACAGCTTGGGCTGCAGTGGTAGCAGTAGAGGTGGTGACAAGTGGTCGGATTTCTAGTCCGAAGGTAGAGAAAGTATTTTAAAGATAGAGCTGATAGAATTTTTGAAGTGGATATGATATGTTAAGCAAAGTAGATAAAGAGAGAATTTTCTGGTTTTGCTGAGATGAGGAAGGGTGTGGCAGGAGTAGATTTTATGAGGGAAGACTAGGATTTTGATATTGGACTTTTTTTTTTTAAGCTATCTATTAAAATCCCAGTAGAGAGGTTAAGTAGACACATGGATGGTGAGCCTAAGGTTCAGGGAAGACGTCCAAGCTGGAGATTTAAATTTGGAAACTACTGATGTATGAATGGTCTGTAAAGTTGTGAACTGGATGAGATCACCTGTAGAGTAAGTATTGGTGAAAAGAGAAGCTTGAGGACAAGGCCTTAGGATATCCCATGTTCAGATTTGTAGGTTAAAGAGGAACTAAGAAAGACTACAAAAGGAATGCTGGTGAAGTAAGAGAAAACCAAGAAAGTATGGTGCCCTGGAAATCAAATGACAGCATTTCAAGGAAGAGGAAGTGATCAACAGCCCAGATGCTGTTTATGGGCCAAGTAAGATGAAGCTAGGAACTGGTCATTGGATTTAGCAAGAGGGAGGTCACTGGTGACCTTGAAGAATGGTTTTGATGTAGTGGTAGAGGCAAAGATCTGATTGAGATGATTCAAGAGAAAATGTGAAAACAGAAATTGCAGACTGCATGTATAGATAAATCTTTTTGAGCATCACTGTTTATGGGAAGTAGAAAAATGGGAATGTTGGAGGGGGAAGTGGGATCAAGGAGATATTTTAATAACATGGGAGAAACTTTCAGCATATTTATAATGCTAACAGGAATGTTCTGTAGTGAGGGAAAATTGGTGATGCCAGAGTGTCCTCGTATTGCAGTGCCCAGGAGAAATGGGATCCCTTAGAGGACTTGGCCTCAGATCATCTGTAATAACAGAAGAGAAGACAGTAAATGGGCCCCAGTGGAGGTGGCTGGGTAGATGTGGTGGGAGCATGTGGTAGTTCTCTTCTGATGTTTCTCATTTTTCTGTGGAATAGTAACTAACAGCATTAGCTAGAAGTGAGGATGGGAAGGAGCTGCTGGCTAATGATGGAGGGAGGAGAAAGGGTTTGCAGTAGTCCTCTGGAGAACAAAAACCTGAATGGGCTAGAGAAATATAGGAATGCAGACCAGCACTATTGTCCCACCTTAAGTTTGTAGTCATAAATTTACAGTGATATCAGTCGGTATGGTTGCTCACCAGCCATTTGTACTGGTGCAGATACATGTAGGGAGAAAACCAAGAGCTGGAATTAAACAGATGGTGTTTTTTTTCCAGGCAAGTACAATGGAAGCAAGTAGGAAACAAGGGAACTGATGGCATACACAAATGAGTATAATAAGGGACCATGCAATCAGGCTACCTACAAAGGGAATGAAAGGCACAAAGGCAGGGGGTGACAGGAATATGTTGTAGGATCAATGAATTGTAGGTCCTGGTGGAATCAACAAATCATTGGAGATGAGGACCTACAGGAGGAGAGTTGGAAAGCCACTTGGGTGCCAGAAAGTGGGGTTCTCAAAGTTGAAATTTGGAGAGATTGTATTTATTGTTAATGCCAAGATCTCTTGGTATCACCATGGGAGATAGATTCGTTGGAGGAGAGGATTTCAAGAAACTGAAAGATCAGGATACTGGGAGAACTCATCAAGGATTATGGCAAGTGCTATTAGAGAGTATGATAGTGCGTTACAGTCTTTAAGGCAGTGGTTCTCAACCTTCCTAATGCTGGGACCCTTTAATACAGCTCCTCATGTTGTGCTGACCCCCAACCATAAAATTATTTTTGTTGCTACTTCATAGCTGTAATTTTGCTACTGTTATGAATCGTCATCTGAAATATGTGTTTTCCGATGGTCTTAGGCACCCCCATGAAAGGGTCGTGACCCACAGGTTAAGAACCGCTACTTTAAGGAATGAGAGCAGATGAACAAGGAAGCAGTGGGTCAATGCAACAAGGAGAGTTAGTGGATGGTATTATCTGGTGACGTGAGAAACAAAGCTAGAGGCTTTTAGAAGGAGGGAAAGAGAATGTTCTAGAAGCAGCAATGTGGACTAAAGAGTAAACTCACCCTATCTGTAGGGCAAGTTATATGAGCAGTGAGGGAGAATAAATAGCCATGTTTGAGAGAGCCACACGAAGGCAGTGCTTAATAAGAAATTTATTGACAAACATAAATTAATATAGTACAGATTAAGTTGGGGAATTCCCTGGAAATCACAAAATATAGTATATTTACTTAACAGGGCTAACTAAGGAATTCTAGTTTCTAGGTTTAGTGGGTTCCGAAGGATGTGGAGTGTCATAGATGCGTTGTAGATTGCGCTTTAATAGAAGAGAATACGCAGTGTCTAAGGTAAGCGTGAACTCTTCATCTGTGGCAGGTGGCAAGTAAATTAGCCTGATTGGAGAAGAGCAGATGCCAGAAATAGTTTTTAAAATGGGTTTTTGAATGAGGAAAGCACATTAGAAACATCAGGTTTAGAATTTGCAATTTGAGGGAGCCATTATAGATGCATAACAATAATGCTGAGATAAATTATTCTGGTCCCATTTTTGGAGATCTGGATGATTGCAACAGAAGTTTCTTTGAAAACACGAATTTACTTCACTTTCAGCTTTGTGTTCCATGTTTCTAAATAATGAAGTTCATTATTTAGGGCTAAGTTTTTTGTCACTGTTGATATACTTTTGGGAGGGCACAAAGATTTTAACCATTTTTCACCATAAGTTTCTCTCATTTCATATTTAGATTTTACTTTGCTAGCAATGGACATGCCCAGCACAGCTCCCTCAGATCTTCAGCCTCAGCCAGTTGTAGCAATGATACAACTTTTTGGTTGGGATGATATCATCTGGCCTCAAGTTGTAGCAAGATATTTAAGTCATTTCCTCCAAAATAGGTAAGTAACTTTATTTCAGGTATTCACATTAATGTAAATCCATGATAGATCAGTACACCAAGAAAGTAAAAATTTTCACAAATAAAACCTGATCTTTTCTACATATACTCTCATTTTTGGCAGTTTCTTGCTTTTAGATTTATCAACATTTTTACAGTAGTAGTAATAGGAAAGCTAACTTATGTTTCATGGCCTGCTTAAAAGAAATGTTACTGCCCTGGCCTATGTGGCTCTGTTGGTTCAAGCATCCCGTGCACTGAGGGGTCACGGGTTCGATTCCCTGTCAGGACATATTCCAGGGTTGCAGATTTGATCCCTGGTTGGAGCACAAGCTGGGACACGCCAATCGATGTTTCTCTCTCCCTGTCCCCCTTCCTTTCTAAAAAATCAATAGGAACATATCCTCAGGTGAGAATTTAAAAAACCTGTTACTGCTTAAGCCCTTTTTTAAAAACAGTTTTTGTAGGACTGCCTTATTCCTATCCTGAAATGACCTTTCTGCACTCACCATTGTGAAAGAAATTATACATTAATATTGCTGAATTTATAAGACACTGGTATGTTATTGAAGTTTTAGATTTAATGATAGCTTTCTTTTCAACAGCTAGATTTTCAAAGATTTAACTCTTAACTTGGATGATTATAAACAAGACACTTCACTACCCTGAATATTATTTTCCTTATCTATAAGTACCCCTGCCACATTGCATAAGTGATCTAAGGAACCCCAATAGGCAAAAAATGTACAATGAATAATTTTAAAGTAGAAATAGTATAACTGGGAAGGTTTGAATAAGAATATTAAGATGAGGGAAAATAAAATAAATATATACACCTAAGAGACCAGTGTAGTTTCTCTCCAAGCTGCCAGTCAGTGAAAATGAAGAGTGATGCAGTGGTAGGTGTTCTCGTGAGGAAGGTCATTCAACAGAGTCATGAAGTCATTTCTCATTGTCTCTCAGTTGTAAAGCAAGTTCAGCTTCAGTTGGATTACTTTTAGGATCCCTTGTAACTTGAGAATTCTGTAATAACAACAAACATTTATGTTTATTAAACACTTTTGCTGAAATTATTTTAGTTTTAAAATAATATTAGTGTATTAGTAACAGTTGAAAAAACTGAAATGCAAAGATAGATGTTAAATTGCTTTAGGATGGCTATGCAAATAATAAATGACCTATCTTGAGTTCTTCTATATTGTGTATTCTTTTTATGACAACTTATATTCAAAGTATTTTAAAACAACATTTCTAGAATTATTATGTAGATGTATTTTTTTTTAATTTCTAACTTTACATAACACTTTATAGTTAGCTTAAGACCATTTTCATCCTTTTTATGCTCACTTATAAAATGATTAGAAATCAAATTAGTCAGGCCTTGGGCTTCATAGAAGGAATTTTAAAAAAAATTTTTGTCAGACCTTATTTTGGAATTCTTTAACAATGACTGACTGTGTGGTGGGGGAGCAGGACAGTAAGGGACAGGACTGGGATTGATCGGTAGACCCACACAGAAACACATCTTGACTTTAACTTTTTTCTTACCTATAGGGTCACGACCACTTTTCTGTTTATTTACTCCACTGATTTTTTCATTCTACTTGCCATTTCCTTATTATCTCTCCTAGCTAGTTATAAGCCCTTTCCTTTCTTTTCCTCTTTTTTTTAAAAATATATTTTTATTGATTTTTTTTTAGAGAGAGAGGAGGGAGAGAGATAGAAACACTGATGTGAGAGAGAAACATCGATCAGCTGCCTCCTGCTGGGGATCAAGCCCACAACCTGGACCTGTGCCCTGACTAGAAATTGAACCAGGACCTCTCAGTCCATCCGACAACACTCAATCCACTGAGCCACACCGGCCAGGCTCTTTCCCTCGTTTAATCATATTTTCTTATCTCTTTCCCTTGGCATAAACCCTACATACATGCCATCGGGGGGGGGGGGGGTGGGGGGGGGGGTTAAAATTAAAACCTTACAAATAAAAGCAAGAGTACAAGGTGGGGCAAAAATAGGTTTGCAGTTGTGAGTACATGAAACAGTGTTAATTCTTATATTATTATTTATTAATTGTGTTATTTTTTAAACACTGTAACCCTACTTTTGCCCAACCCTGTATTTATCTAAAATATCTTATTGTGTGTATCTGTAGTGTTCATTTTCAAAAATGCATGCCTGCATTAGTTGTGTTTGCGAGGCCAACAAGGGGAGACTATGAAAATGTTTTTCTTTATTTGTTAATCTCTATATTCAGGGAATTTATGGTTGGGCTTTAATTTTGTTTTTAATATCCATCAATTTATCTTTACAGCATGTTATGTGAAGCACTTTCTAATTTAGGCTGTGTATCTTTTCAAGCCTTAACTGTGAGATCATGGATCCGTTGCATTTTGCAAATGTATATAAAAAGCCCTAGTTTACCTGATGATTTATTAATTGATATAAATCCTGAAGAGGCAGTTGGTAAGTGTTGTAGGTGTCTGGCTTTCTAGATGGCTAAATATCTTTAAAATTTCCTGTTACATAAATTAAGAGAAATGATAAAAAATATATATTTGTAATTAGCTATGAATATAAACATAAATTTATATCCTTTTGCAGCCTATTTCTTTTTTCTTAATATTTTCCTGTTTCTATATATGATAAATTTCTCTCCTGTAAAGATAAGAGAACTTGTTTCCTTGGAAGCCAGGGAGGAAAAACAACCTGCTCTCAGGTGACAGCTGTCTTTTACCTTGAAGAAACTGATCACAACAAAAAGTGGAAATAGGAAGTAAATAACCAGATATCACGCTTTTCATTTGCTTTACACTTAGTCACAGAGTGGTATTTGTGTTTTGTTTTGTTTTTTAATATCCCCATACAGTTCTGGTTGCCTGTAGGGCATGCCTTTTCCTAAAACTACTCTTTCTGGCCATTTGTAAATCGCACAAAGGCTCGACTGAAAAAATGCTCCAGCTTTCCTTTGCTATGTTACTACATCAGTTGGCTTTACATGAATAACGTCTAGGGCTGTGTTCAAACAAGTACATGTTTGTTCTTAAATAAAACCTCTCCTTATTGGGAAAAACTTAATTAGAAGTTTTTAATTATGTGGAAATTGGAATTTTTAAAGGAAAGAATGTTATAAATGAAGAATGCTACGTTCCCTGCTTTCTTATTCATATATCTAATATAAATTTATACAGTAAACATTACATAAACATTGTTACTTTATTTTAACAGAAAAGGAGTACTTGGAACAGTTGGCTGAACTGACAAGGTTGCTGTTTAAACTCTCAGAAGTAAAGGATATTTTCTCAGAGGCTCAGGTTGAATATTTACCCATCCCAGAAGACCCTATAAAAGCACTTGTTCTGTTTCTTGAGGTATTTCTCACTTATTAGTATAACTGTCCAGATCAGATACAATCATGTTTCAAAAAAACTTGAAGTGTTCATAATGTTTTTCTATAAAAGGAAATCTTTTAAATTGAATCATTTTATTCGGTGCCTTATATTACGAAATTTTGGAGAAATAAAAATGTGAATCTAAGGTATAGTACAATTCACTCTTAAAGACAGAAGAATTATATTTAATGAAAAATAAAGAGTAAAGAAGTCTACATATAAGCCTTACACTAAAGCTAATCTAAATTGTAGGAATATCTTATTGTTGAAATTGCTGGATAGCAATATTCTTCAGGTACTTGGGAACTAAACTTTCTTGTATATGATCCATAATACTTCCAACTTAATGTTTAGATCCTGTAATAAGCCGTGTAAATTTTACAGTAAAAATTTAATCTTTTTAGCATAAGCATCACCTACTTCCTATGATAGTGTGATTGGGGCTTTAAAATTCAATCTATTTGTTTTGTCTCCATAGTAAATAGTCCCATTCAGCATTTATTTTCAATTATTAATTTTGTAGGAATCTGTGATAGTTTTTGCTTTATAGACTAGTTGAGGTTATTAATGTGTTTTGATTTGTGTTTTTCTAACTATCCACAGTAAAAGTTGGTTTATTTTCTTACAAAGCAGTTGGTATTACCTGCAATGCAAATAGTTATAACCCATACGATTTTTTTATAAATTTGAAATCTTCCATTGGTTTTCATTAAATTAAAGTACAGTTGTACGACAATTAACAGTGTTTTGTAAGTCCTAAAAATACTTAATAATAGTACATGCAGATATAAAATACACATTTCTGACCAGCTGGTGTGGCTCAGTGTTTGAGCATCAACCCATGCACCAAGAGGTCACCAGTTCAATTTCCAGTCAGGGTGCGTGCCCAGGTTGTGGGTCAGATCCCCAGGGGCAGGCATGCAGGAGGATGCCAGTTGATGTTCTCTCTCATCATTGTTTTTATCTCTCCTTTTCCCTTCCACTCTCTCTAAAATCAATAAAGAAAAAAATACTTTTTAAAATTATAAATAAATAAAATACACATTTATCCAGTCTTTTTTTTATTTAAAAATAATTTATTGAGCATCTACCAAGTACCTGTACTCTTCAAAGACTAGTGAAAACAGCAATAAGTCAATTCTGCAGGTATACAATGACAAGTATCTTCTTTTTGTCTGATTTATTCTAAACTAAGAAACCAAGAACTGACAAAACAGGAAAGGTTTGTCCTGTCCAGTCTGAAGATAAGCAAGACAATGCCTGAGTTTGCGCTCTATATAGATTTAGGCTTATCATGTTGAGCTGGTTGTAATAGTCTATATTTAACTAAAAATTAATAAAAGTCCATGTTCATCTTAAGATAATTGGTTTTTCTTGCATATCCCACTTCTTACCCCTAAACTCCTTTATTTTTAGAACAAGATTTTCCTTCATGCTCATAATTCACTTCTCCCACCCCAACCCCTCAGCGATTTGTTTTCCTGTAAGAACACCTGCAACTGGCATGGTTTGTCCTTGCCAGGGCAGACTAAAACCTTAAACTGTTAACTGGCTGAGGTGAGGGGGAAGGCAAGCAAGCACTAACCTCAACACATCCCTACAGTTCTCTTTGCCCCCAAGTGCAGGGTTGTGACAACCCTTCTCCCCACACTCCTTCCCAACACACCTGACCTCGTCAGGAGAATAAATGATAGCAGCTGCCTAGTCCCATCCCTGCACCAAAGAACTTAACACCCAAATCTGAAACCGGAATGAAATTCAAGTTTCAAAACCACCTTTCAGTCACTCACAGATCTCATCCTTCATATCTTAAAACACTCACCCTCACTGTTTCATAAGTGCTTGCTGAAGGGAGAAAATACAAGTTTAAGACCAATTAACTTTGCTGATTACTGTGTAACTTGAAGTGAGTCATAATTTGGTAAATGAAGGTGAGAATCTTAAGAGATTAAAAAGAATTTGTTAAAATAGCAACAGACCATTGTTTAGAAGTCAACATAATACCAACTCTTTACCTTCTACTGTTTCAGGAAAAGAGAAAGACATGAGGTTTGTGGTGTCCACTGTTAAATAGATCCAGACAATATGGAACCAAGTTCTCACATTAAGACAGTCAGTATTATGGGATGTCCAGAGACCTCCCCACACTTTTGTTTGACCTGCAGAACTGGAGATGGCTTACCTGCCTATGACTTCAACTTTTACAGAGTTTAGAAAAGTAAAACAAATAATTTTATTTTCAGATATAATAAAAATTAATTTGATTAGAAAAATAAGTAACTGCTTTTACTTATTTAGGTTTCTAAAAATGAAACCTAGGTCTATGTTAAGAAAACTTTTTAAATAATGCTTTGTATTAAATTCTCTAGGAGTGGTTTAAAAAACCTACTTAACTTTTATGAAAAGATCTATTTATACCACTTTATTTCCTTTTCTCTGATTTTGCATTTCACTTTGCAGTCTGCAGACCTCCATTTGGTTTCCCAAATAGGGAACCTCAGCACCTTCATATTTTTGAGAAATTGCTCAGGTGGGACACATAAAAATATGGCTCCTCTGGCAAGTATTGCTGTCACTATTTGACTCCGTTTTAATAATAAAGTTACTCCAATCCACATGAGTCTTCTATGAGGATGGCATCCAGTTGTTGACTGGATCTCACCCTGTAATTAATTAAATCCCTATGTTAAGAGCCGTCCTGGACCAGAAAGGGAGGTAGGAATCGTGCATTCCACTGATCAGTTTGAAAAGCTCTTTTAATTTATCCAGTCCACGTTAATTATTATTTCGGCAACCAGTAAATAATTGTTGTATGCTAAATGCTAGATAGTACCTATTATGCTAGGATTTCGTAGGGATTTGAAGAACAAGAAGTAGACCTTGATCTCAAGGAGCTTTTAATTGTCTGAGAATACAGAATATACACAAAGGTTAAAATAATAATATAAGACAGTATATGCCAAGTGCCAGTTAGTTAATAGATCAATAAATAGATTAAGAATTCAGAGCATCTTGGTATAAGAAGTTTGAATTTTATCCTGAGAACAGTGAGAAGGCTCTATACATTTTAAAGTAGGTCTAGTTTGATTAAATGACTGCAGGAAAATTAGTAACAGTAGAGTAGATTAAGGGAGCATCTGAAAGCTCTGACGATTTCCAGCTGTCCCTCCAGCTCTGAGTGACATCATCATGAGCTTCCACTCCCTTTTCTTCAAGTGCAGCATCCTCTCAAGCTCTCACTTCACTCCCTACCCACCTGAATTACACCCGGGGGCCTCACTTCAACTACCCTTACCTACACCCTCGCAGTCTTCCATCCTTTGTCTTTCAATCACATCTGCAAACCCTCAGCTTTGGTTTGATGCAGCCACTTACTTTCTCTCCTTTGTCTTGTCTGCTGAGAGCTGTGGTAGAAAAATCACCCGACTGTCTATACTGGTGCTGTTGTGTCCAGTTTAGGTCATTGAAGTCTACCATGAGTTCCCAGTGATGGTTTGGAAACTTGAGTACTCTTCTCAGACCTTCTAACCCATCTCTAGCTAATCTCTTGATTCGTTTTGTGACTTCTCACCTCTTGCTTATTTTCGCCCTTCTTCAACTTATTTCATTTGTTGTTGTTCCTCTTCTTCCCTCTTCACTGTTCTCCTTACTGCCTCATTTATATTTCTCTACCGCCTCCTGTTTTCCCATCTCTTTTTTTTTTTTTATCCTCACCCGAGGATATTTCTCCATTTTTTGTACAGATAGAGTGGGAGGGAGAGAGAGGAAGGGAGAGAGAGAGAGAAACCTCGATGTGAAGGGACACATTGAGTGGCTGCCACCCGCACGACCAACCAGGGCCAGGGACAAACTGCAACCAAAGTACGTGCCCCTAGCGGGAACTGAACCCGGGTCTCTCCGGACCGCAGGCCGACGCTCTATAACCGCTGAGCCAAACTGGCCAGGGCTGTTTTCCCATCTCTTTGTGCCTCATCCATTTTTCCTCTGAGAAAGCTAAGCTGGCAAAGTAAAGAAAATTCTGGGGGAAATCAGTTCATATCTCAAAGTTGAACTTTATAGAGGTCTTACTTAAAAGAATTTGGTAACCTCATTGTAGGCCTTCCTTGTATGAATTTGGGGATTTTGAATTTCCAGTTTTGTAGTAGGATGTTTGGAAGTCTCTGTGTTATTTGGTTATAAGCTTCTTTTCTTCTTTTTACTAATATGTTGCTAAGTCAAATCTTGTATTAATAATTATTGGTGAATTATTTTTTTATTCTTATTTTAACCTTTAATTATAAAAAGATAGTTCCTTTAATTTGCATTTTAATTGCCGTGAACATTTTTTGAAAAGTTAAGGATGAAGGCTTAAATGTAAGGTGTGTGTATAGAGAGAGAAATTATCTTTATTTTTAAAAGTCTGTATAAAACTTGGAAAGCTAAATCATGTTTTCCCTTATTTGTAGGCTGTTGGTATAACTTACGGGAATCTGCAGAAACTTTCTGATAAATCTGCCATGGTCAAAAAGTCCTTAGAATACCTTGGTGAAATATTAAAATATATAAAACCTTATTTGGGAAAAAACATTTCCAGTGCAGGGCTGCAACTGACGTATAGGATGATGGGTATGTATTTCTGACATTATTAAAACTTTGTGAGGTTGAGTCCACAGTGTCATAGTGGATACGAGTATACTAATTAGTACAGCACTGCTCTCCATACAATCATAAGAATAACCTGAAAGACAAAATAATTCAGGTTGGCTTTCTCTGTCTTGTCCCACCTCCCTTCAGAACTTTTCTTGTTGTTCTTGTGTTAATATTAAACTTAATTATGATCAGTAGAGAAAATATGCCAACACCAATTTGCTATGAGTAGTCTGTTGCAAATCACTCACGTTGTGAATACCTGGAAAACTGAAATGGACATTCTCTTTAGTGCTTATTTATGCTTTGTTAGAATTTGAAAAATCAGAAAAACATCACTTCCTTTTATTTTTATGCTTTGCTCTGTATGAAGGAGGTCAGGAAAGAATTTATTATGGCACTGAAGACATTTATGCTTCAAATCTTGTTTCTCCCAACACGTTTTCTTCTTTCAAAAAGAGATCTTTCTCTGTGCCTGTTCGATAACAACAGAGTTCATCCTTCTTTAGGAAGTCACTAATTTGAATTCCTTTGTTCACTAAAATCGTGTTGCTGACCAAAAATAGGAACTGGATAAAGGGGAATGAGAAGGATTTCCTTAGAAGTTTTTATACAGAATTTACGTGTTTTTTTTTTCCTTTTATTATTTTTCTATGGCCAAAACCTAGTATCTGTTCCTTTTGATCTTATAAGCATATGAATAAAACTGATTTGGGCTATCTGATACCTTTTATGTGTGTTGTAAAAGATACGGGAGAATTCGAAAATGTGTAAATACTGATGATTTAGAATGCAGTGAAAGCTATAGTAGCAATTCAGACATCTTAATTTCAAAGAAAAGCGTAAGTGAAAATTTATCATAAATTTAACATAGTAAAATATAAATTCTAAATTTTGGCATTTAGGCTTATAATTTATTAGTCTGCCAAGCTAAATGTATGATTTCAGGGTATATCTTTATTTTGCAGGATATATGACAGTCTTATCAGGAACAGCAAAATCAGTTTTGGATTGGTGATATATAGACCCATAGCAAAAGTCCCCTTATGAAGAACTCAGGGCCTTGTTTGTTTTGTTACACAATTGTTTTTTATTTATGGCAGATGTATCTGTATTCTTTTGTCTAGATCCCAGAGACTGGGAATAGAGTATACTGCTACAGGGTCGCCCAATTAATAGACATTAGGAACAAATACCTCATTGTCTTCTATATGTAAAGTGTTTAGAACAAAATGGAGAAAGAGCAAGTATAAACTTTTGAGAGTTCAGCCCAGCCGGTGTGGCTCAGTGGTTGAGCATTGACCCATGCACCAAGAGATCGCTGGTTTCATTCCTGGTCAGGGCAAGTGCCCAGGTTTTTGGCTCGTTGCCCTGTAGGGGGCATGCAGGAGGCAGCCAATTGATGTTTCTCTCATCTGATTTCTCTCTGTCTCTGTTTGTTTCCCTTCTTCTCTCTCTAAAATCAATAAAAACATATTTAAAAAAAAAACTTTTGAGAGTTCAAACCTGTTTTAAGTATGCAGGGTTGGGATATCATATGCACTTGAGAGAAAAGACTTAATCACTGATATTTTATGCTTTACCCTGCCAGTTCCTAACTGGAAATAGCACTGCTATTCACTTGTAAGGTGCAAACTTTTGATGGAATCACACTTCAGATTAAGGCAGCTGGGGTCTTAATTGTAAGTCAGTGATTTCTGAGAAAGGAAAATTGATCCATCCATAATATCTTCAACTTTCCTCCTCTTTGTATCATTTTTGAGGGTTTTCTCATTCTTTATATATTTTTTACTTTTCTATTTTCATGCCTTTTCTTTTGATGATCCTTCTCTCTTTAGTCATTCTTCCCCTTTTGGCTTCACAATTGAAATTCTACCTGTGTCCATTCAGTGCTCAGCCCAAGTATCCCACCTTTCTTGCACTGCCAAGTGGACTTGATCTCCCTGCTTGTACTTCATCTGCCCTTCCTTTACGACATTTTTCATAGCTTACCATTTATTATAATTGTGTACATAGCATGCCTCTGCTAAATTTAAAACTTACTCATGGTATTGGTCAGATTTTTGAACTGTTTATTCCCATTGTTATGTTGTATTTTGAACAAATAAAAATGTGTGTGTCTGTGTATGCATGTGCATGCATGTGTATGTGTATGTGTATGTGTGTGTTAGGCATTGGATTGGGGACTGGGGATGCATCAGTTCAAGAACTTCTAATGTAGGAGATGACATCTTTATTTATATCTTAAGTATTTCTGGAATTTAATAACTTTATAAACCTAATGGTACATAATGTATTTTTAATGTTCCTAAATGAGCAAAGTTATTCTATTTTACATTTAAAAATATATATTGTAATGATCCCATTTTACTTTTTCGGTGCATAATACATGCATACAGTAGAAAATGAGTAAATACTCCTATAGTGCAACTCTCTTTCAATTATGGGAGTGTGTTCCCCACAACTTTTCTATATTTTCAGCTTTATCAGTAAATAAGTAATATTTTTATAGCCAGGAAATGTTTCTTTTACAAAGCTCTGCTATGTATTTAAACTTTCCCCAAATGTTTTTACTTAAAAATTTCTTTTTTTACATTTTTACTATCACACACACTGAAATATTCTTTGCTGAAACTTAAAAAAAGTAGGGATCTGTTACAGCAGTAAAACAAATGTATCACCTCTGCCTTCAATGAACTCATAAAACTTAAGGTCTTCAGAAAAGCATTTAACCATTGCCGAAGATGAAATACAGGGTCGATGATGCATTTTTGGTTGGAAGGTCCTTGCTCTTTATAAGTTAATACCTGGGTGACACCTCAGAGTGATATGAATCATTTGAAATGTCAGTGATGATGGCAGTTCCTCTTATGGGTATATTAATGTTCGTTAGAATGTGAGTTCTTCTTACATTGCTGTCATTCTCCAGTTTTCCACCTACTGGAAAAATGAGGAGCAAGCTAGCATTATTTAAAATATTGCTAAGTGAGCACTGTGTTTCTTTATGATTGATTATAGTATTTCCTTTTACAACAGAAGATTAATGTTGCTGTTTGTTGTTCTTAGAAGTGATTATTGGTTGGGGTTTTTTTTAATGTCATTATATCTGCTATAATCAGTTTTGTGTTCCTTCAGAGCTTGAATTTAAACTTTTTGTTTTATGAAAATGCCTGAATTGTATCACCTTTTTTGCTTTCTAAGATAAGATAAAATATAAAAGTTTATGCAGTACATATACCACTCTGCTATTTGGACAAGCACTTAATGATCTCCTTTTAAATTTGTTTTTGTTTTATTTTTTTCAGTAAAGGAGACCTCAGTAGTAATGATACACTCTAATGGGAATTATAAATCTGCTTTTAATTACTTTATTAAACAAAGAGTATTCATTTGTTAAGCTTTACTATCTTCAGGTGTAGCAACTGACAGACCCCCTCCCTCCCCCCCAGCTGGAACCCATAATAAATTTCATATAAGAAAGAAGTCTGTGTTTCTTCTTTCAGAATTAAAATTTAAACTCACTATTGAAAGTTATAAAAACTGAAATTCAACGAGGTTAAATTATTGCTTCAAGGTGTTACAGCTAATCATTTTTAAAAACAATTTAATTTAGTTATACCTCTTGTTGCAGACAGTGTTGAGATAGTGTATAAAATTGTATATAAGATAAAAAATATAAAGAAATAAGGGTATGAAAGAAATAAATTTGGAGTGCATGATGAAGCCCAGGAAAAAGTAAGTATACACATAAAAGCACAGTATATGATCTTATAGTGTTCTTTTTTTTTTATTCCTCACCCAAGGACATTTTTGCATTTATCTTCAGATAGAGAGGGAGGAAGAGAGAGAGAAACATCGACTGGCTGCCACCCACACAACCTCATGGGGATGGGGACAAACTGCAACCAAGGTACGTGCCCTTAGCGGGAACTGAACCCGGGACTCTGTGGTCCGTGGGTCGACACTCTAATCGCTGAGCCAAACTGGCCAGGGCTGATCTTACAGTGTGTTCTTAAAGTTGGATTGTATTTGCCTCTGAGTTTCCTAGCAGCCAAAGCAAAAAGAAATATTATTAACTGCAACATTCAATTTATGTATAAACATAATGTATAACCAAATCACATTGTATGTGGTGTGTATGTGTGTGTCTGTCTGTCTGTATGTATGTATGTATTAAATAGCAGTTGCTCAGGAAATGTATGTTTTTCTTGGCTCAGAATTCTTAGAGAAATTTGTCTTTTTAATGAAATACATGACATGACAAGCTTTTTTGACTTGTAGTGAATGTTTCTTTCTAGTGCTCATTTTAAACTTGCTCCTGTATGCTTTAATATAAATTTTTTAGTGGAATGACAAAGTTTTCTGTTTAGAAGATAACCGTAACTGCTGATACTCCTTTTCTCTGTTAGGAATTCTTGTTAAATCGTGGGCACAGATCTTTGCCACCACGAAAGCACAACAACTGCTGTTCCGGATCATAGATTGCCTGCTGCTGCCACACTCGGTGTTGCAGCGAGAGAAGGAGCTGCCTGCACCCATGATGGCCGCAATCCAGAAGAGCCTGCCTTTGTATCTCCAGGTACAGGGAGTGTGGCTGCTTACAAGTAAAAAGAACAAAGTGAAACTTTGCTTAAAACAGCTTACTAACTGCAGATTTAAAAACCATGCGTTGTCATCTCAATGTATGTGTGTACACGTGGCATTTCCATTCAGCGCATTTTAAATTCTTGTGTTTGGCTTTGAAAACAAAGATGGAAAAGACAAAATCTCTACCCTCAAGAAGCTTCAAGTTCAGGAGGAGGCTGACTAGCATAGAAACTTCTAGTAATGTGCTCAGTATTTTTCTGAGCGGCCACTTCTGTCTGTCATCCAGACTGGTATGAGGAGATGTGAGGGAAGACACTGTACAGGATAGTATTTGTCAAGGAGCAGAGTGGGTAGGAGTTGAAGTTCTGTTCCTGTCAGAGGGGACAGCATGTGAAGGGTGTGCTTTTTGTAAGAAATGGGACACACTGGGGAAAAGTAAATAATGCGGTGGCATCTGGGGACTCATGCAGGAGGAGCCACAGACTGGACTTTGCATGCCATGCTGAGAAGTTCGCACTTGTTCTTTTACATGGGGACTCTCGGTGGGTTTGAGTGGAGAAGTGGGAGTGACATATATTTGCATTTTAGAAAGGTGATTCTGGTGACAATATCCAAGATAAGTTGGTGTGGAGCTTAGACTGGAGACTTGGAAGGCAGTAAGTAGTTCATTATCTGAACGTTTTAGTGGGTATAGAGCTCACGGTAAATTTCAGAAACATTTAGGAGCTGCAGTCAGAAAGGCTTGTTGAGTGAGTTTGTGGAGCAACAGAAAAAATAGAATACTTTCTAGATTCCACAGTGGCTGCTTATGTAGGTAGTAGTGCTACTATAGCTGAAATGAGATATTCTGGAGATAAGGAGATGAAGGTAAGACTTTCTGAACAGCTCTAGTTTGAGGTGCTGGGGAACTAGGTAATATGTTCAGTAGGAAATGCTGATCTGTCCTGCAGGAGACAGGACTGGATTGGAGGGGTACTTTGTTATTTGTTAGTGTCTGATGGTAAAGGTAAGTGCTTTTTAATTTGGGCTCTAGCAAGGGAAGCTGAGGAGAAAGGGGAGTGGATTTTGATTAGGTAATAAGCAATCTCTTCCACAGATGTATTTTTTAAAAGATATTTTTACAGTTTCTAAAACATTTTAAGTTGGCTCTTTAATTTTGTATTCATAATGGCATTTAAAGCAAAGTTTAGCATATTCACTAGCAAGATAAAGCACTGCCACCCAGAGGGAGAGATGGGGGAGGGGAGGTGTGGGCCGCAGGAGAGTGTGGGGTGCGTGTTCCCTGTGGCCCCCTTGAACCGAAAGTGTACACTGAATAAGAATTCTGATAAACTTCCAAAGCTGTAAATTGAAAAATCTGTTGAATTACCCTTTTAGCAGAGTTGACTGGAAGCTATATATTTAATTTCTTAAAGGTACCCATTTCTCCTCAGAATTTTCAAAACGTATTCATTTATTACTTAATCTTCTGATTTAATGTGCTTTTCTTTAAACAAAGCATTGAAGAAATGAGGTAGAGGGGTGTCCATTATTTTTTTAAATTGTTTAATTACTAATGTTTAACAGCTGTATGCTATTTTTTATTACAAATAACTTTTCAAAATTTCTTAGTGAGTAAATATAGCTAAAATGGAGACATAAAGATTTCTAATTATTTCTCTAGGAAAATATGAATGACAAAGTACCAAATTATAAATGAATTTTTGATCATGATTTGTTGTTGTGTTGGAGATTATATTTTGTAGTAGGTAAAATTTAGTAATATTGGCAGAAAAACTTCTGTTTCTCAGGATATTGGTTTAATGGTTTGTAAGTATCAAATACTGTAATCCATATGAAAGCATTTTTTAGCTTCTCTAAACCTCTCAACTCCTCTAAATCTCAGTTTCTTCAGCTATAAAATTGGAGCTATGGTAATACTAACTCAGTGGGGTTTTTTTTGGTTTTTGGTTTTTTTAATTTAAATGAAATAATGAATATAAACTGCATGGCACAGTGCCTGACAAATACAAACCTCGAAATAAATTGTCATTATTTTGAGGAATAGTCTTCTGCATTTTTGCCTTTTGTTAAAAAAAAATCACCTTTCTTAACATGGAAGATTTTTAGTTAGCCTAAGTTTTATCTTACTCGGATAAATCATCAGTGCCCTACATTTAAAAAACTGACCTAAAATATATTTTATAACTTTAATTGCACATATATGCAGTTGATGAGTGTGGTGGTCAAGTTTTCTGAGGATGAGGAAGCAGGAAGCTTCCTTTGTCTTCCCACACTTCTCCCCTGCTTCCTTTTTGCCCCAAAGACAAGTGTGTCTTTAGATACCACAGCATAGGTGTTACCACGCTTAGCAACTCCCTGAACTTCGTGTAAACATTGTCTATTGATAGTGGGTGGTGTCCTTGTTAATTTCGATGTTACAAAATCTGACCTGAGTATTAATGCAGGGGGGACTAAATTAGTAAGTTCCTAAATATGTCTTTAAGCTTTACCTTTGTTTTCATTTTTTTTCTCCCATAGGGCATGTGTATCGTTTGTTGTCAGTCTCAAAATCCAAATGCCTATTTGAATCAGTTGCTGGGGAGTGTTATTGAGCAGTATATTGGGCGGTTTCTTCCAGCTTCCCCACACGCTTTAGATCTCACACATCATCCTGTGTTGTTGGCATTGAGAAACTCAGCCACTGTCGCACTGATGTCATCCCTAAAGAAATGCATTGTACAAGTCATAAGGTATCTCCAAATATTAAAAATAAGTAGTATTTACATTTTATTAATCTCTATTAAAGAGTAGCAGAGCATTTCAAAACTATTGGTCTCCCTTAGAATACTCGTGGTTTAGAAAAAAAATTTTTTTCTGAGAATTATTATCTAAGATTTTACTAAAATGATGTTTGCTTATGGCTGCCTAAGACAGTGCTTTTTAAATTGCTTATTTTCTCTACACAGCAATTTTTTCTTATGTACATCTTAAAGGGATGTGTGTGTGTGTGTGTGTGTGTGTGTATTAGTTTTTATCAGCTGAACAGTAACTACTTTGTACTGTACATGATACAGTAATTATATTTTATAAAAGATAATAAGTGAAAATATGATTGCTAATATGAAAAAGGAAGCGATATGAAGTACTGTTTTGTTAGTCTTTTCTGTCTTAATAACTCAGTTTTATTATTAGGCAGATGAGTAAATGAAACTTCTGAGGTTTTTTACTAAACTCTCTACCTTTTAACTGCAGCATTAGAAGATTTAATAATAGAAATTATCTTTCTTTACCTTCATGGAGTATTTAGCTTCATATGAAATGAGTCTTTTTTTTTTTTTTTTAATCCTCACCCGAGGACATTTTTTTGTTCAGATTGAGCGGGAGGGAGAGAGAGGAAGAGAGAGAGAGAGAAACATCGATGTGAAGGGACACATCGAGTGGCTGCCACCCGCACGACCAACCAGGGCCGGGGACAAACTGCAACCGAGGTACGTGCCCTTAGCGGGAACCGAACCCGGGTCTCTCCGGACCGCTGGCCGATGCGCCAACCGCTGAGCCAAACCGGCCAGGGCTGAAATGAGTCTTTAAACCTTAAGATGCGCCCTGGCCGGTTTGGCTCAGCGGTTGGAGCATCGGCCTGCGGTCCGGAGAGACCCGGGTTCGGTTCCCGCTAAGGGCACGTACCTCGGTTGCAGTTTGTCCCCGGCCCTGGTTGGTCGTGCGGGTGGCAGCCACTCGATGTGTCCCTTTCACGTCGATGTTTCTCTCTCTCTACCTCTCTCTCCCTCCCACTCCATCTGTACAAAAAAAATAAAAAATGGAAAAATGTCCTTGGGTGAGGATAAACCTTAAGATGCTATGGTGCTATATATTCTTATCTAGTATTTTGTTTTCTTTTTAATGACCTGATAGTTTTAATGACCCGATATTATTTATCAGCTCTGTACAGAATTCCATGTCTAAAATCCTTCCTTACCGTGTGTGTGTGTGTTGTGTGTGTGTGTTTTCCCAGTGTTCTGTTACTCAGGTTTGGAAGCTTTATAATTTTGTTTGCTCCCCTTTGCTATCCTCTGACAAATGATTGTTTTCTTCCCTTCTTTTCACATCTCTCTTTCCTTATCACATTATACCCAGACTTTAGCCAGAGTCTCCTAATTACTTTCACTATCTCGTCTTTTCTTCCAGTCCAGCCTAAATAATGCCCCTAGATTAGTTTTCCTGAAATACTGTTCCATTATGACACTTTCCTGCCCCCAGACCTTCATTTGCTCTTTTTTAAAAACCAATGGAATAAACTCCATGATCTGTCACTTAACTGTTCCATAGCATCTTATACAAACCCTGATGAGACTGGTTTATTATTGCCCCTTCAAAATGCATTCTAGTTCCCTACGTTACAGCATTTCCTCCATTAAAATGCCATCCATCTGGACTAAATTTCACCTAGACGTTGTGGTATTTCAGTGCACCATGATGCTTCTTCCTTCTGAAGTCATATGCTCTGTTTAGCTGACTTTCCTATTTGCCTTTGAAAACATTTCTAGTTGAAGACCCCAAAATGTAATAATTTCTTTTATCTTTTTTTAATACTAAGGTAAGAAATAGAGATTGCCTCCAATGTCTTCCTCCATTCCATGCTTCTCAGCCCCACGGTCCCCAGTCTTAGTTAAGGCTCCTTCCTCTGAATTACCAAGAATTGTTATTCAAAGTACCTGTCACACTATATCATGATAGTCTTTTTATTCTTGTCTAATTTTTTCATTGGCTATTGAGCCCATTGCTTTCAGATACCACATTTTACTTAACTTTACATTTTTTTTCTTAGATTTCTACCTAGCACATTGTAGGTACTCAATAAATGTTTGTTGTAGGCACTAGGAATTCAGCAGTGAACAACAAAGACAAAACCCGTGCCCTCAAAGAATGAATGAATCTTCTAATATGTAATATTGCTTGGAAGCCACGGTAGGGAGTAGAAATGATGATGGAAGACATGGTTCCTGCCCTTAATGGAGTTTATAATTCTTAGCGATTTCTGTGCTTCCTTTTGGCAAATTACTATTGCTTTGCAAGTATATATGGATGTCTAGCTTAGATTTAGCTGCATTTGACAATTTTTTGTATTGTCTAGACTTTTTCGAAATTGAGCCATCCCACTTTTGTTTACTTGCCTAACAAGTGCACACTGAGCACGTTTAGAGCCAAGACCTGTTCTGAGAGGTAGAGATGCAAAAATGAGTCATATAAATTACCTTTATGACCTCGGATGAGTTCTAATACTAAAATCTGTCCTGCTTTGGGAGAAGATATTAAATCCTGAAGTACCTCTCTGATTCTCTTACTTCTAAAGGGAAGGAAGGAGGTAAAGCTAGAGTGGGAAGCTAATTCCTAGGACAGTCTTCTTATTGAATTGGGGGAGGGAAAAAAAGACCCCACCCAAGTCCCTAAACAAGTAAATGTGAGAAGAGATTTTTCTTTATGCAAATTTGACAGTGAAAATATTGCATCATTGAGGAACTGGCAGAGGAAATGAGGCTTATTATTTTAAAAAAGAAAAAGTAGATTAACATTTATATTTTTATATGGATTTTGGTTAAATACATATTAAGACCAGGTTGCTTTAAATTCATTTTATGTCTCTATTCACCTTTGGCCCTTACAGCACATCAAAAGAATGTTCAGTCATTGCTTCTAACTTTCTGTGTTTGGAAATGGCATGGTAAAATATACGTACTTTTTAAAAATTGTGCTTTCTTTGGATGGCGGTGAAATCTGCCAATATCTATAAAGTATATGTCATTTGATTCTGCTCTGTTGAAACGTTGAACAGAAGAAAAAACAAAATTGTACTTCTTTTCAGGAAATCCTACTTGGAGAATAAATGGTTTTTGCTCCCTCCTCGCTTAGCATCCATTCTGGCTTTCATCCTCCAACTCCTCAAGGAAACAAACGTAGGTGTTTCTGAGGTTGAACTCCTCCTCCCAGGCATTTTAAAATGCTTGGTGTTGGTCAGTGAACCCCAAGGTGAGTTTGAGTTTGTTTTCGTTATACTTTTCTGTTAACAAATTAAAAAGTACTCTTTCCTATAAGTTAGATTGATAATTACAGAAGTGTTTGTTTATTTTATATCAGTTGCATATATATATGATATTTATATATATATATAAAACAAATTCCAGCTAATAACTGAGGTTGAACATAATACAGTGGTTAAAAACTGGCATGTTTCAGTCTAGTCTAGTTTAGTTTAGTTTTTTCCAAGGCAAATAATTTACTTAAGTGCTAGTCCTTCTGATTAGACTTGTTAAACTGCTATAGAATATTTGTTCAATCTGACTCCAATATTAAATGCAACTTGTTCAATATTAAGTTGTGAGAAGTCAGCATACCTTCTTCTATTCAGGTGTCTGCTAGAATATATAAGCTGATTTCTTGGTAAACCTCTAAGGATCTTTTGATCCTGTTCCTTTTGTTTTCCGTCTCCTTGGCCTTACTGCCAGTGATCTCTTTAAAACTTCATTTATTTCATCCCCACTGTGAGTAGCATGCTTTAATAAGCTTACTGGGGATATGCAGAATAATAGCCATAGTTGTGTCCTGAAGGATTTGTATCATGTAAATAGAATGCTGTGTGTGTTTATCTTAATGTGATTGTTTGGCGCAGGGCTCCTCTCTGCTTCCACCTCAGTACTTGTAGCTGCTTTGTACCTGCGGTGACAAGTGAGTACAGTATGTGTCCGCAGGAATCAAAGGGCAGTGCCCAGAGTGGTAGCTAAAAGCTCAAACACCTCTTTGAAATGTTGTTTTATCTAAAAAAATGTATGCATAATTTGGTGTAACTCTTACTTCAGTAATTTAAAATGTTCGTTCTGTTCCCAAGCTTGGTTTTGTGAAAAATATTATGTTCTGTTAATTTAGAATATCCTTACTTCATAGTAATATCCCTTCACTGAAGAACACCTAGATGAACCCCAGACTTTTCTTTAAAAATGGTGCCCTCATTGAAAACATATGCATACTTTTAACTTCAGTGAATGCTTGTTGTATTGTGCAATGAAAAATTTCTTCAGACAGGGTAGATGGTATAAAATTTTAGTTAGACTCCTATTTTGATGATAGTAATATTTATTATGAAGGAGACCAGGGTTTATAATTATATCTAGTGTAAACCAAAATTAATTTTAGACTTGTAATAAATTAATATTTAAAAAGTTTTTATTTGAATGAAAGGAGCTGTACTCCAGGAGACACAGATTCAAGTAGCAACAAAAATTGGGCTCCACCAAGACCAAGGGGAGGCCATCTTTTATAAAGTTTCCACCCAAATTCCCAGTTTTATACAAATGAGGTTTTTAGATTGTACAGTTCTGATTGGACAGGGCAGGTGTCTGCTGGTAGCAAGACAAACCCAGGTTTCCCTGAGGTGGCTGACTCAGACGGCATAAACAAGCAGGACACAGTGTGGGAAGCCGAGAGTTCAGTCTGAGGTTCGTCCTGGTACACAGAGTGTGGGAGGAGCCCCGTCAGCATGGCTGCTTGACTCTCACTACTTATAAAATGTAGGACCTCAGTTGACCCTGGGGAGTTCATCTCAGCAGATAAATTCCTTCTTGAGGTTCACATCAAATGAGCCTTTTTTCTCAGGTCCACACCAGCTAGCAAGTGCTTCACATGTTCAGTGCAAACGGAGTGCAGAATCTTCACCCCCACACTGCTGTCTTTGTAACCTTGAAGGAGGGAGCATGCACGCAGATGTGTGTGCTTGGCTCAGAGAAGATTGTGACTCTCCTTGTTGTCTCAATGTTTAAAGGACAGTTTGTACAGTCACAAGAAGTATTACTAAATAACTCAGCAAGTCTCCTCCTTGGTACATGCCCAAGAGTATGTTAATCACACATCCACTCTAAGACCTGTACAGAGAGCTTGACGAGTGCCACTTGCACGACAACATAGGACCTCAGCCAACATAACCTGCTCCCTAGCAGAACTGGTAAAAATCACTTAAAAGAAAGCATTAAAGTCTCCGGAAATAGCCGTAAGGGTATACAGTAAGTGGAGAAACATATATTTAAGAAAATTTACTAAAACTGGTAAGAACAGCAAAAATCTGTGGTACTTGAACCACGTGTTTCTTCCTTCATTTCTACCAACACAGTAAGAGAGAAACTCCACTCCAGAATGGTAAATCCAAGAATGTAGGGCTCCTTCTCTCCCCAACTTCCAGTAGAATCCTGAGAGGCAGGATACCACCACTTCTCATAGTGACCCCCAGCTACCTGTTGTTAACATTATGTTTCAGGCAAGTATGGCTAAGAAGTGGGAGCTCCATGCTTCTGCTTAACCCTCATGGGATGGTTGCAGGACACTGAGTGCAGCACCTCTCTGAAAACACGGGTGCCAATCATTCTTGCCAGAGCTTAGAGGTGGGGGTTCCATGCCAAGAGGTGCAAGCTGAGGGGACCTAGGGCAGCTGCCCTTCCTCCCATAAGCACTCAACTCCTAAAGTAGGTGTATCCCTCAGAAAGTAGTGGGCTTCAATGTCCCTGTTCCAACCCCAGCGCCACGCCTCTGAGATTTTGCCTGGAACTCTGAGTCTTTCCCAAAAGAACTGATTTCATTTGCAACACAGTGTGAAAAAGTTCAAGCCTAAGGGTACTGTCAAAAACAGTAAGAAAAGCCATTAGATAGAAGAATAATAGATTCATTGGAGCTATAAGATCATCTGTAGGCCAGCTAGTTTGGTGAGACAATTGGTGAAAGAGACAGCTGGTTAGAGCCCTTGAGTCAGAACAAATCTTTAACACAGATCTCAGTGTTTTATCCTTTTAAAAAAGCCTGAACTTGATTAGATCAGTCTATAAAGCAATTTATGCCCCAGGGCATTATTTAAAATAATAGCGTAATCACCCAGCAGTTAGTGGAGCTTAACAGCTGTTGTCAACATGGAAAGGGACAGTCGAGAGGGCTGTCAAAACCTGTCTTCCAGTGCAGACTGGGCATGCCTGAGGTTACTCCACCACCTGGGAGCAGTTTTAGAGGCTTTGTGAAACAGGGGAGCAGCAGAAGGAAGAAGTAGACTTCACTACACAATGTCCAGTTTTCAACAAAAAAATTACAAGACATACAAAGAATCAGAGAAGTATGATCCATTAACTAAGGAAAAAAGCAGGTTGCCCTGGCCAGTTTGGCTCAGAGGTTAGAGCGTCGGCCTGCGGTCCAGAGAGACCCAGATTTGGTTCCCGCTAAGGGCATGTACCGCGGTTGCAGTTTGTCCCCGGCCTTGGTTGGTCATGCGGGAGGCAGCCACTCGATGTGTCCCTTTCACATCGATGTTTCTCTCTCTCTTCCTCCCACTCTATCTGAACAAAAAATGGAAAAATGCCCTCCGGTGAGGATAAAAAAAAAAAAAGCAGGCAATGGAAGCTGCCATTGAGAGCAATCAAATATTGGATATAATAGAAAAAGACTTGAGAATAGTAGAGGAACAAAAAACATAAGACATTTAGAAAACAAAATGTAAAATGTGAATCAAGTGTGAAAGGATTGAAAAATCCAATCAAACAGCAGGTCATCGGAATAGTTTTGTTTTGTTTTTTTAGAGAGAGAGGGGAAGGGAAGGGGAGAGAGAGAGAAACATTGGTGTGAGAGAGAAGCATTGACATTGATTGGCTGCATCCTGCATGCCTCCCATTGAGAATCGAGAAACACTTTAGATTTAGATATTGAAAGTAAAAGGTAGAAAGAAAAGGATACATCACACAAACACGAACTGCAGAAAGGAGTGGCTGTACTAATAGACAAAAATAAATGTTAGACCAAACAATCTTCCTAGAAATAAAGACAGACACTTTATAATAATAAAAGGTCAATCCATCAGGAAAATTTAGTTTTCCTTTTTCCTTCTTTATCTAGATGCTTTTTATTTCTTTTCTTGCCCTGACTAGAACTTCTGGTACAATGATGATAGAAGTGACAAGAGTGAACATCTTGTCTGGTTCCTAATCTTAGGGGGAAGGCATCTAATCTTTCACTATTAAGTATGAGGGTAGCTGTAGGATATTTGTAGGTGTCCTTCATCGGATTGAAGCATTTCTCTTCCCTTCCCAGTTTGTCATTATGTAATGCATCTCTTTATTCCTGCTAATTCTACTTGTTCCGAAGTCTCTTTGTCTGTAATTAATATAGCTACTACAGTTTTGTTTTTAATTATGTTAGCATTGTATATATTTCTCCTTCCCTTTAATAATCTGTGTCTTTATATTTAAAGTAGATGTAGTTGCAGACAGCATACAGTTGGGCCTTATTTTTCATCCTTTGTCAGTCTGTCATTTAGTTGCTTTATTTAGACCATTAACATTTAAAGTAATTATTGATATAGTTGGATTAGTATCTACCAAATATGTAACTTTTCTATTCATTGCTCTTGTTCTTTTTAATATTCTTTTTTTTTGCCTCCTCCTCTGATTTCAATTTAGCACTTTATGATTCCATTTTCTCTTCTCTCTGAGCACATTAAATATACTCCTTTAAAAATTTATATTTAGTTGTTTCCCCAGAGTTTGTAGTGTATTAAAACTAGTCCAAGTCCATTTCACCTGACAGTGGGTTCCTTCTGGTAGTGCAGGCGCCCTGTCCGAGTTCCCAGGCCCTTCTCTGGCCTGATCCCACTGCTGCCGTTCGCTGCCCTGCCGTCAGGAATGACCACCAAATGCTTGTTGTTACTATTTTGAACAAAAAGCTATTAGGTCAACTAAAACTGAAGAGAGAGGTAAATAAAGAGAATCACAGCTTACCAGGAACAGAAGCCTGCTGGTGGAGCTGATACTGGTAGAAATTTTTAAACTGAACTTGACAAATTGTTCTAGGCAGTTCGTCGTATGACCGTATTTCTCTGATGCATCTAGGAAGAGTTGTTTTTCTGTTTGTTCAGATTGTTTCCCCAAATTGATCTGCAAATTCTGTGCAGCTCCTATCAGAATCCCAGCAGACTTCTTTGTAGAAACTGACAAGCTGATTCTGTAAATCATATGTAATTGTAGAAGTCCCAGAATAGCAAAAGGAATTTTGAAAAAGAAGAAAGTTAGAAACTTACACTTTCCAGTTTCAAAACTTAGTATAAATCAACAGTGATCATGACAGTATGATACTGGCGTAGCGACAGATCACTGGAGAATCGAGAGTCCAGAACCAAACCCACATGACTTTTGTTTTGTTTTTGACAAAGATGCCTAGGTGGTTTAATAAGGGGAAAATAGTCTTTTCAACAAAGTATGCTAGGTTGGGTGGCTAGCCACAGGCAAAACTTTGTACCTTTACTTCATACCATACACCAAAATTAACTCAAAATGGATTATAGACCTAAATGTCAGAGCTAAAACCATAAAACTCTTAGAAGACAGCATTGAAGTAAATCTTCTTGACCTTGGATTTGGCAATGAATTCTTAGATTTGACACTAAAAGTATGAGCCACAAAAGAGATAAATTGGGCTTAATTAAAATGAAAAAAAAAAAAGTGCTTTAAAGACACTATCAAGACAGTGAAAAGAATCCGACAGAATGGGAGAAAATATTTGCAAGTCATTTATATGAGGAACTTGTTTCTATAATATTTAAAGAATGGTTATAACTTAATAATAGAGACAAATAACATTTTTAAAATAGGCAAAAGAGACATTTCTCCAAAGAATTTAAACAAATGTCTAATAAGCACCTAGAAAGGTGCTCAGCATCGTTCTTCGTCAAGGAAATACTAATCAAAACCACAGTGAGGCCCTGGCCGGTTTGGCTCTGCGGTTAGAGGGTTGGCCTGCGGTCTACAGAGACCCGGGTTCGGTTCCCGCTGAGGGCACGTGCTTCGGCTGCAGTTTGTCCCCGGCCCTGGTTGGTCGTGCGGGTGGCGGCCACTCGATGTGTTCCTTTTGCGTCGATGTTTCTCTCTCTCTCTCTCTCTCTCTCTTCCTCTCTCTCCCACTCTATCTGAACAAAATATCGAAAAATGTCCTCAGGTGAGGATATACAAAAAAAAACAAAAAAAAAACAAACCACAGTGAGGTACCATTTCATACTCATAGGTTGGGTATAATGAAAAAGTTAGATAAGAATACAGGTTGAGCCCTGGCCGGTTTGGCTCAGCGGTTGGAGCGTCAGCCTGCGGTTCAGAGAGACCCGGGTTTGGTTCCCGCCAAGGGCATGTACCTCGGTTGCAGTTTGTCCCCTGCCCTGATTGGGTCGTGCAGGTGGCAGCCACTCGATGTGTCCCTTTCACATCGATGTTTCTCTCTCTCTCTCTTCCTTCCACTCTATCTGAACAAAAAATAAAAAAATGTCCTTGAGTGAGGATTAAAAAAAAAAAAAAGAATACGGGTTGAAAGGGAGAAATTAGAACCTTTATTTACTGCTGTTGGCAAAGTGGTGTAGCCACTTGGGAAAACAGTCTGGTAGCTCCTCAAATGTTTACATACAGAGTTACCATTTGACATAGCAATGCCACTTCTAGGTATATAGCCAAGATTAATGAAAATGTATGTCCACACAGAAACTTGTATATTAATATCTATAGCAGTATTATTTATTATAGCCAAAAGTTAGACTATCTATCACCTGATGGATGTTTTTTTTTTATCCTCACCCGAGGACACTTTTGCATTTATCTTCAGACAGAGTGGGAGGGAGAGAGGGAGGAAGAGAGAGAGACAGAAACATTGATGTGAGAGAGACACATTGAGTGGTTGCCACCACACAACCCCAACCGGGACTGGGGACAAACTGCAACCAAGGTATGTGCACTTAGCAGGAACCGAACCCGAACTCTCCGGTTCATGGGCCGACACTCTAACTGCTGAGCCAAACCGACCAGGGCCGGATGGGTTTTTTAAATGTAGTAAATATATTCATACAATGGAATATTGTCTGGAAATAGGAGTGAAGTACTGGTATGTGCCACAACATGCATGAACCTTGAAAACATTCTAAATGGAAGAAACCAGTTACAAAAGACCACCTATTATATGATTCCATTTATTTGAAATATCCAGATAGTTGAATCTATAGAGACAAAGTCTATTACTGGTTGCTCAAAGGGTATCAGAGGATAGGAAGTGATAGCTAAAGGGTTCGGGGTTTCTTTTTAAGGTAAAGAAAATAATCTACAATTGACTGTAGTGATGGTTGCATAACTCTATGAATATACTAAAAACCATTGAGTTCTACACGTTAAATGGGTGAATTGTATAGTATGTGAATTATAATGGCTGTTGTAAAAAAAATCTTTAAAAAAAATTACCCAGTTTAAAAAATAAAAACAGCTTAGTTCAATTAAGAAACAAAGATGGCAAAGTTTTTTAAATAAATCCCTATACACTAATATCCATAGCAGTATTCTTTATAATATCTAAAATGGAAACAACCCAGAAGTCCAGCAACTAATGACACTAAGGGGTATATTCATGCTATGGAATATTATTTGACTGCTGAAAGAAAGGAAGTACTGATACATTCAGTGAAGAGCCTTAAACAGTATACTAAGTAAAAAGGAGAGTCACAGAAGACCACATGTTGTATGATTCTATTTATATAAAATTTCCAGAAGAGTCAAATCCATAGTGACAGAAAGTAGATTAGCAATTGCCCTGGACTAGGGGAGAAAGAAGGGAATGAATGCTTAGTGGGCATAAGGTTTTTGGGGAGGTGATGAGTTAAACAGTAGTGATAGCTTTGTAACTCTATGAATATACTAAAAATCAATTCATTATATACTTTAAAAAGTTGGTTTTATGATATGTGATACCTAAATAAAGCTGTTATTTTCTTAAAAAGCAATGCTTATTATTATATACTGTGAAAGCTGTTTCTTCATGTTCTGATACTTTTGCCACAGAAGAACTTTTGGAGTTTGTTTTTTAAGAAAACAAATTTTAAAAAGAGCCAGTGTTCTGGGTTCTAGAATTGTATCTGATATGAGAAGTTATTTTCTCAGTAAAGACAAGTATGCTGTATCTTCTTCATCCACTTTCTGATGCCATGGAAAACCTTACTACTAAGTCTCAGTTGAAGTTCATATGCATCTTATGTGTCCTACTCTTGCTGTGATGGATTAGACGTTCCGAAAATCTTTGAGTCTTAGCGAACTCTCCCCACCCCAGCTACTTATATTTAATGTGCCAAGACAACATAAAAATTTAGTAGCGTCTGGCCCGGCCGGTGTGGTTCAGTGGTTGAGCGTTGACCCATGCACCAAGAGGTCGCCAGTTCTATTCCCAGTCAGGGCACATGCCCAGGTTATGGGCATGCAGGAGGCGGCCAGTTGATCTTCTCTCTCATCAATGTTTCTCGCTCTCTCCCTCTTCCTCTCTAAAATCAATAAAGAAAAAAAAAATTTAGTAGCGTCTGGATTCTCTCCATTGTTTCTTGATTTTTAAAAATATTTTTATGTGCAAGTGCACAATTTTAAAGAATTTGGTTAAATATTTAAAAAGTACAAATGTCCTTTCGGTGACTGCTGTTTGAAAGGAAGGTAACATCAAAAATAGTTGATTTATATATATATGTCTTTGACTAATTTTAAGTGAAGGTATAGTGTTAGATTCTAAATTGCTATGCACGTATTACTGAGTGGGAGGAATATGCTTATGAATTTTAAAAAGATATGCTTGTCCTTAAATCTGAATTATTAAAAGCTGTCTATCATCAGTATGTTACCATGCTTATGGGATTAGGGTGGTGTGGTGATTTTGAATATAGGCTCTTTTCTAAGAGAAAAATGTATATTCACATGTATTTTTTTCAGGTATAAGGCTGTAAAAAAAATAGACTCTTGAGCTTTTTATATTTTCTTAAAGTGAGAGGGAAATAGATTGGGAGATATACTTTTGGAAAAAAACAAAAACTCGTAACTATTTCATTTTGAGAAATAACAGGAAAATATATATATACTTTAAGAAAACAACATATTTTCTAAGTCAAGAGTGTTTATAAAAATGAGGATCCAGATGGTCAGTTCAGAACCGGTGTATAATGCTATACTTTTTCCTCCTAGTTAAAAGGCTAGCCACAGAGAACTTGCAGTATATGGTAAAAGCCTGCCAAGTGGGGTCAGAAGGAGAACCTGCGGCCCAGCTGACTTCTGTGTTTAGGTAACTGGAAATTATGCCAACTGGCAAGGAGACTATGCCAGTCCTTTGACAGCCAACATGTTTTTTAAATAACTAATTATCTGAAACATAATGTGTTACTACTTGTTTACAGTATTTCAGTTATTGTATTTTTGGCAGTAGTTTTGTTACATTGTGTTGTTTTATTAAAAAAATAAGTGTGCCAGGGAGAAAGATAAGTGAGCTGACTTAAAATTACTTGTGTATTTAGTGAGGAAGATTCTTGCATGTGTTAAGGGGAAGAGGGGGGAACATGGGTCGTGATAACAGGAGCACGGGCCTTCAGAGCTGCTAAGCATATGTGGACCCCTGTGGACGTACACGTCACGGGTTTCTCTTGCTTTAGATGGCTGGCCCAGAAAGCTCCATTGTGTTTCATGTGCGAAGCATGGACTGTAGGAGCGGATCTGTCATTGGTTCACGAGAACGACAGTGCAGCTTGAGGACCTGTTTTCCTGCCTTGCTTCCTTTGTCTTGTGCTTTCCGTCAAGGCAGTATTTTTAAGTATTTCTCTCACCATTTCCACCAGTTTATCTGTTTAGTACATTTCTTTTCCGTGGCACTACCATAATAAGCAACTTGGAGTCATTTTCTTCTTCTGTGTTGGATTTTTGATTCCCCAGTTTTTGTTCTCATCACATAATTGGCACTTGTCAGGTTACAGTTTATTTGGATGTGAGCACTTGAGATAAATAATGGATTTGTGAAAACTGGAAAACCCTAAGAGGGGAGAAAGGATTTTATATGAATAAAGGTTGCATGTTTTTATGTATAGTTTATTAAGGTGGTTTTTATTTTATTGGAGGAAAATATGTAAATACCTCCTATGGGTCTAAAGTCTCCTCTTGGGTTCCAAAATATAAAAGTACATTATGATCTCTCACCGATGTTTCTGTCTGTCTCTCCCTCTCCCTTCCTCTTTCTCTAAAATCATTTAAAAAAAATTTTTTTAAGTACATTATAAATAACTTGCTTTCCTCATAAAAAAATGTTTCATGTGTCTAGAGATATGAAGAACTAAAACAAGATATCTAGGAAGCCATACTTGTTTTTTCTCAGTCTCTTTCACATCCTCATCACCCAGATTTCATACAGACTGTAGCAGAAAGGGCCCTGGGCTTAGGTTTTTCTCCTCCTTCTCCCTCCTGGGATTCCAGCTCTTCCCTCTTCCTCCCGAGCCCACCACACCCTTCACCGCTAACACTGAAATAAGCCATTTTCGTCCTTCATTTTGAAGTGTTAGAGTCTTCTTCTTAATTCTAGATTCTTACGGTAATCTTACATGAAATGATATTGTGTTCAGGTTATAGCTGATTGCCATATAGATACCAGCCCAAGGAATTGCCCCAGAAGTAATCCTAAATAATTTGATTTACTTTCAGGCATTTTATCCAGGATTATAATACGACATACAATTATCAGATTTACAGCATTTTAGAAACAGTAGCAGCATTGGACCAACAGGTTGTCATTCCCTTAATTCCTGCCCTCACTCAGTCTCTGAAGGATTCAGAGCAGAAATGGGGCCTTGGGAGAAATACTGCACAAAGGTACTTTTGATAATTTGATTATATTCTTTTGGGCATGATTAAAAATCTAGATTCATTTTCTAGAAATGGCTTATTTTTCCATTCCCAGATATTTTGGGTGTATTGAGTTGAGACATGTTTTGGTGTTGATTGACACATCCATTCACACATTGCTCTTTCAAAGTGACCACCTTAGAAAGCTGCCTGTTTCAGCAGTGCTGCTGTTGCTCGGAACACGCTGTGTTCCTCCTTGGAGAGTGGAGTTTAGAGCCTCGTGTGTCTTGTTTTTGTATAAATTCTATGATGGCAAATCAGTCTTTTGAAGGTTGCTTAATTTATTGAATCAACTATATCATGTGTATCCACTTAATAGGCTGAGTGAGCCAATTAGATAATAAGGTTTTTGGTAAAACATTAGTTGGGTTGTACAACTGTAAGGCTTTTTTTCTTACAGTTGTACAGCCCAACTAAGCATAATGCTTGAACTATTCAGGGTAATACAACATTATGGAAATATGCCTCCGGCTCCTAGAGTGTTTTTGAGGCGTCAGCATTCATACTAGAGTTCATATGTCTCAAAGTTTGTTAAAGAATCAAAGTACTTTAATCACAGTGTGAGTGTACAAAGCAGACATTCAAGCAGGTTTGGTTTAAATTGTAAATACTTAAATGTAACGTAATGGAAAGGGAATAAATATATCTGCATTTTTTTTTTCTTACACAGGAAAGCCTATAGCAAACTTTTATCTCACCTAGGACAAGTGGGACAAGATGAGATACAGAGACTGGAAAGTGATAACACCCAATATGTGTTGTGATTCATCTTTTCTATTAACTATAACTATCGAAAGCCACTTCGCATCATTCTGACTCCTTTTAATTAATTTTATGCTGTTCTGTTAAAACTATTTTCTAGGATTGTTTTCTTTACATACCTGTAAGTATACTAAGCATATAAATAAGTAAATAAAGGTTAATTAAGTGTGTTATGGGATCTCTGAAACTTGGCAGAATGACATTTTATTTGAAGTGATTTTAATTAATCTAAACTAAAGAAACTTTTTCTGACTGGGAATGTTATCTGTGTATAACTACTAAGCAAGTTTATACTGGTTCATCCATGGACTTTTTACCATAATGTGACTTTGTTTTGTGATTTGTTTGTGTTTGTTGTGTTTTTTGCAAGTTATGTTCTAATCAGATACCTTCATAATTTTTTTGGAAGGGGGAGGGCGTCAGAAGTAGGACTGTTAATTGGTTTTTTAAAAATATATGTATATATATATTATGTGTGAGACAAGTTAATAAATGAAACCCTTACCAAGCCTGCTTAACTCTGAGGAATGAGACTGAATCTGCCTAAATGATTATACAAATAATATATACAAAAATTTTTTTAATGAAGCCAACCGTGTTTGTTTAGGTTCCAAGAGTTGCCAGATGTTTTTCTCAATTCTTTCTTTGTTTTGGAGTTGTCATTAACAGACAAGGAAGATAAATAAGAGTCTATAAGAAAAGGATAGTAACAATACTCCGGAAAATCTTCGTATTACAAATTAACAAAAGGTCTGAGAAGTCAGCTGGTTTTTCTCTTTGCTCTTCGGTTAGAGCCTCTTATAACTTAGCATCTTATATGTTTACAGGGAACCAATTTGGTTGCTTTATGCAGCTATTGTCTCATAACTTTAACAGTCTCACTCAGATTTATTTTACCAGTTGGGCTTTTGACTCCTTTTGGGGTGAGCATTATTTCGTAAGCTGAGCTCTGCTCCTAGTGTTTGGAACCCCCCTGGGTCTCAAAGCTAGCTCTGCTTTGTGACCTTGAGCAAGTTACTTAAACTTTCTGAGCCTCAGTTTCTTCATGGAGAAAAAAAAAGAGTAATCTTTTTTCTATTTTACGATGTGCTGATAAGAATCAGTAGGATAATATATGTGAAAATATTGGTTACCTGTATTCTATATGGATATATACAGACATGATTACTGTATTATTCATTCACAAAGATAAAAAAACACATCTCATTTTTGTTCCTTTCTTTAATATGTCCTAGATGAATGATCCTACTTTTTTTGCAATATTTTCTTTTACATCTTGTTTGCTATCTTTTAAATAATTGATTGCTTTCTTCTTGGGACTCTGGTCTTTATCATGGTTGTATTCCTTCAGGAAAACATTTCAACCATTTTCTGGCTCAAAAAGTATCTTTAAAAATGAAATGTACTGCAGTCAGTACAGTACAGTTATTAATAGCCCTCTTAATTGTAATCTGAAGTCTAAAGAATTATTTGTGGCTTCATGACATACAAATGGTCCACTTTCCCCCAAAATTGATTGTCCTTACTTCAATGAAATGAATGAAAATCTCTTTATGGTTACTTAATGGATTTCATAGCCATGAATTTCTTTTCTTTGTGATAGTGACTTGTTAAACTATTTTATCTATTTAAGGTGATGCTTTTAAAGGAGTTACTATGTATAGTTTATATAGTTTTATTTTCCAAGGGAGATTGATAAAGCTTATCTGAGAATCTTGTTCCTCAGTGTATGAAACTTACAGGATAAGAAAAGCTGCTGCTGAATCATGCATTAGGGTATTTAACTGTAGATGCTAATAACTAAAGTTTGTACTTTAAAAATCAGTTGCAACAAAATGTCTGTAATAATACAGGTATATGTATGATTTTTATTTATAAGGGAACATTTTAAGCTGGTTTTTTAATTGAAAAATTATGACTTTTTAAAAAAATATATGTTTGATTTTTTTGAGAGAGAGAGAGAGAGGAAGGTTGAGATAGAAACATTGATGTGAGAGAGATGATCAATTGGGTGCCTCCCGCATGCCCCCTACTGAGGATTGAGCCCGCAACCCAGGCTGTGCGGGAATTGAACCGGGACTTCTCAGTCCATGGGGGGACACTCCATCCACTGAGCCACACTGGCCGGGCTCAGTTCCTTTTTTTGAAAATCTTTACTGGCCCTTCACTTACTACTTTGGTCTTGTCTTTTCCATTCCCAGAGTTAGAGAACCTTATATCTGCTTCCTTAATGTTCATTACGTTTTCTCTGAGGCTGCTGCTTCTACTTTTTGTTTTATAAGTCACTCTCTTTTGCTGAAATCTGAGAGTATGTCCTCATTTCTCATGTTCTTTAGCCTCTCATTACATTTGCATTTTCCTTTATTTTCTCATCCCTTCCTCAGTGATACTGCTCCTTCCTACTTACACTGTGCTTTGAGGGCACCTTCACATTCTTGTCCCCAGGAGTGAGATCGGGTTCTTCGCTGGTTCTGTCGCAACATTTCTGTAGTCCATTGATAACACTAGTTCATAATTGTCTTTCTCAAATCTATTTTTTGGGCTAATTTCTCTCTAACCCTGTCTAATTTGAGCCTCCTGAAATCTCACAGCAACATGTTTGGCTTCCCGTGTCACCTTCTATTCCAGTCTACGGTCTTTATTTTCTACCCAGAGAATACACTGTCTTCCCAGGTTACTTAGCAGTGACACATCGGAGACACCTGGGAGTCTTCATTGGTGCCTGCGTTCAGTTGATCAGCAGCACAGGCTCCTGTTATTTTTTTGCCATTCCATTCATCTGAACTGTTTTTTTATTGAGCACAGTAATCTCTTATCTCCTTATCTTTGTCTCCTTTTCTGCAATTAATCCTCACAGTTCTGACATTTGTGTTCCTAAAACACTACTTTCCTCTTGTTACTTTTCTGCTTGGCTTTCAAATTACTCATTGTTAATACGCTGACAGTCAAACCCTTCAATCGGACTCTACCATCTGACCCTATCTTTACCACCTGCCATCAGACTGTACCTTTTCTGTCCAGGCTTACCTCAAACAGGAGCCTAGACTGTCTTAGATGGTCAGAATGCATGTTCATTCTATAATCCGAGAGTGTGCCAGTCAGATTTCTGTGAACTATCAGGTGGAGTGTAAAAAGAGGTGATTGAACAACAGGGTGATTAGACGACTTTATTAGACATTCAGGTTTGGTTAGGATTTAAATATTAATTGAACATTTCATTAGGTTTTCATGAGGGAAAGAAAAAAAACTGGAATAGTGCCTCTATACAAAAAAAAAACATTTGGTATTGAGTTCATTTGCATTAGAAAAGTTTTATAGTTTAAAACTTTTATGTCTTTACCTATTTCTAGAATATTTTCTTTTCTTCTTAAGTGTAACTTTTCCTACCTGGGCATTTATGTAAAAAAATAAATGGTTGTGGGTTATTAGACAATGTATGTGTGTTTTACCCATCTCATCTTCTCTCATGCTTTATCACAACATTTTAAAGCTACTTTGTTCTTAAATAAGTACATGAATCTGTTCTCATGTACTTTTACAGACTTTGACAGTTTTTATTTTTATGTCCCCTTTGTTAAGATTATATGTTATGCAAAAATTTGACAAGCCTCCGCAGTTGGGAAAAGCCTATATGACACCTACCTTCCCCAAATATTACATGTTAACATAGCACTTGTGTTTCAAAGATAAAAGATAGATATCATGGAAACCTCACTAAAATCTGTGTTATCGGTACTAAACCACTGTTTTCTGATTGATAGACTTTTTACATAAACCTTACATTTTCCAAAAACTCATCTCCTGCCTACTCCGCCTAGGGTTGAAATATTCCTTGTCAGTCTGGTATAGGACACCAATGTAAACAACATGCTTTTGTTAGGTTAAAACGCTTGGTTGATTTTGGGAAGCTAGCAAAGTTAGCACATTCTTTCACATATTTAACATATGAGAATTGTATTTTGATTCTGTGATAAATTATATTGGTGATGTTATCAAAAGCAATACTGTGTGATTAGAATTGACCAATTGCTGCTTACTAAAGTTTTTGGTTTGCCAGTAGTTATTTGATTTATTGCATTTGCAAATTAGAAAGATTCTGGGCATTCTTATTTTATACACATGTTTATAAGTTATTTTGTGCATATAAGGATATATAATAAAAATGTGTTTAACTTACTCTGTACCCATGATTATTCAGCTTCCCTTTTTATGACAGATTAACTATTTGAAAACCAAAATAAAAATGAACCATGTTAGCAAGAGAAATAATTTCTATCTTATTACTTGCTTTTATACTCTGTATTAAAACACTATTTTTCCAGCTGTTGTGGTGTCTAAAGGGGATACAATGTACATTTGATTAAACTGTGAGGAAAATATGAAGAGAAAAAGTATGAAAAATAATCTAATCATAACCTAACTGGCGTTATGTTATTAAGGATCTAAGGCATTTTATTGCATTTTACATACATAGTATTTTAGAGAATCATGTCGTTGCTGGTTTTTTCTCCCGCGCTAAGAACACTCTGCTAATATCTATGTGACACTGCTTTTTCTTTTTTAAAGTAAAATTCTGAAATAATGTTTAAATGGTGGGAATTTTCATGATCTTCCTATGGAAATTCAAATTGGTAATTTATATACAAATACAATATGGTCTTTAATTTTGAAGAGTGAAAATAGGTGAATTACTACTATAGAACAATACACTTAAATAGAAAATATATATTTGAATAGTTTCAATGGAATTTGGTTTATATGACCAAACGTACTTTTTGCTTATTAATTCTTATTATTGATGATTTGAGGAAAAGGATCTAATTGTAAGTGATCTCTGAGTTTTTTTATTTTTAGAGGAGAGATATAGTTTGGATGCTGTTCTTTGGCTATAACTATAAAGGAGTTTCTAAAAATCATATAAAGTTTTTAAAAATTCTGCATTCAATTCTGTAATATTGGTGAACACTATGTTCACCAAAGAGGGATTTGATAATATATACTCATTTGTTTTAAATGAATAGTTTAAAATCTACACAGAAATAATCAAGCATACTCTCAGGCTGCCTTCAGTTATCATTAAGCAGACTTATTTTTAGATAAGTCTTCCCCTTCATTTGTTGGATATGGGGGTCTGGGGTTAAATAGATTTTAATGGTTTTATAGGGTAAACCTGCTACAGGGAAAATCTGTGTGTCAAGTAGAAGAATTAATGAATCTGAAATATTTCTTGCATAGGTCCTTGTAGAAAAGAATTCTGAAATGCCGGAGCCCATATCCTGACTTGGTAAGGCATTATTAAAATTTAGTTTAGATGATTTATACCTTTTGAAGATACTCTCTGTCATCCTTCTAAAAAATCAATTATCAACGTCACCTTTAGAACTGTACAAATACTCTCAATTTATTTTTGTTTGTCTAAACTAAATCTCTGATCTTTTAAAAGTTTATTTTTCCTTACTCCTAGTCTCTCTCCCCTCCTACCCTTTAGTCTGTGGATAACCAGAAGTAACATATATATTTAAAAGTTATTATTTTAGGCATCATATTATATATAAAATTAGTGAATTCTGCATTTAGAAAAAATATTTTTTACTTGATTACTTAAAGTGTTTACATGGATAAAATGAGAATTTCCTATAAGTCAGGGATTGCTGAATGATTGAAGTAGGCCAAGGAAAAAAGTCAGTAAAATCTTTTAATAATGTTGACTTAGATCCCAACAACATTAGGAAAAGGGGAAAACTCACATTATAATTGTTGACTTGATGTTCAAATTGATTGTTGAGTTTTGTTTCTGGTTATGGACAAAGCAGATCTAAAAAAAAAAGTAGCCTAAAAAAAATCCATATGCATTATGAAAAGTGGTAGTAATAAAATATGTATTGGTGGTGGAGGGAGAATCCCACAAATACTCAAGATTGACTTAACCTTTTTTTTTATCCTCACCCAAGGACTTTTTTTTCATTTTTTTGTTCAGATAGAGCGGGAGGAAGAGAGAGAGAGAAAGAAAGAGAGAAACATCGACGTGAAAGGGACACATCGAGTGGCTGCCATCCACACAAACCACCCAGGGCCAGGGACAAACCGCAACCGAAGTACATGCCCTTAGTGGGAACTGAACCCCCGGTCTCTCTGGACCAAAGCCGACGCTCTAACCACTGAGCAAACCAGCCAGGGCAACATAACCTTTAACAAAGAGCAAAATCTTTTATTAGAACTACTGATCCTAGGTTCAAATTTATGTCAAAGCACTTTATGGTACCAAAATTAGTACAACTAATTTTTTTTTTTTAGTATAAAATGTAATTTTTCACTAAATGAGTTTAAATGAGTTGTTTGGGAGACTACAATTTGAGGCAAGGATTTGTACAAGTTTACTAATCTTTGGGTTTGGTAAAGTCCCTTTTTACTAATTAGTGTTCTCTCTCCTGTGCTTTTTAGAATCATTTTTTCCAAGCATATGTTTGATGTAATTTTTAAACTCCAAAAATAATCTCCCTGTTTAGTTACATGATTCTTAAGACAGTAAAATACCTTAGAATTTGGGTAACATTTTTTTGTTAGGTGAAGTACTTCAGAGCATTTGCCTAATCCTCACAAGGTTCTTCTGAGGAAAGTCAATAATTATCCTCCTTAAACAGTGGGAAACTGAAGCACTATAAAGTTGAGCCCCTAGCCTAAGGTTACAGTAATAACCAAGGCAAAAACTCTGGATATTCCCATTGCTGTTCCAGTGTACTTTTATTATTCGTATTACATTAAATAAAATATGACATTTTAAAATGTATGTCATAATACTGAGTCTCTACTGAATGGGGATGTATAATATTAAGTTTTTAAAGAAAAATTACAAACCCAGGTTTAAGTAGTAAAGGGATTGAGTACTGAAGATTTTTAAAGATCAGTGATGACATGCCCTGGCCAGTTTGGCTCGGCGGTTAGAGCATCAGCCTGCAGTCCAGAGAGGCCCGGGTTTGGTTCCCACTAAAGGCATGTACTTCAGTTGCAGTTTTTCCCCAGCTCTGGTTGGGTCATGCGGGCGGCAGCCACTCAATGTGTCCCTTTCACATCAATGTTTCTCTCTCTTCCTCTCTCTCCCTCCTGCTCTATCTGAATAAAAAATGGAAAAATGTCCTCAGGTAAGGTTAAAAAAAAAAAAAAAGATCAATGATGACAGTACTTGGACATACTTTGACTGACTACTGCCGTCATGCTGTCCTAGACAGCACTTATTAGAAAAAGTGTAGAAAAATGCTCTAAAGACCCTAGAACGGTAATGGACCATTAAGTTGGTACTAAACTACACCACAATAAATGTCATACATATGCTATTGTATTGTACGTTACGCACACTGGAAAGGGTGACAGAATTTTCAGTTATGTATTTTAGAAAATTGTTCTTTTTTTTTTTTTTTTTTGCTGATGTTTATCTGAATATAAGACCTATAAAAACAAGACAAGGAAGCATTGAGCACTGAGTCTTTTCATGCCCAGTATTCAAAAGTGAGGCTTTTTTCCCCCTCCTGTTCACGATGGTTATTAACAGCACTGGCTTTTCAGATGGTGCCAATCCTATGATGAGGCACTTGAAGAGTTTGAAGATTAGGGCATGTGAAATAGGGAGCTGGAAGGAAGCATGCTGCTATTCCATTGGAAGCAAAAGGGAGTGTAGGCCCATAGAATACTTCTTCTTTGCCTTCTCTACTTACATCCAATACCTACAAAGGAAAAGAAGAGGCCTGCATGTCAGAGATGATTGCTTAAAGTAAAGCTATGTACATATAAAAGGAAGCATGCAGTTACACTCAGTTATGCCACCATGACCATACCTTACCCATTGTTATTTTTCTCAAATAATACCAGAAATATGTATTAAGTTCCTGCTGTGTTCTGTTTATACACTTGCATGTGTACCTACACACATAGGTATACATTAGGTATATATTTACAATATATTTAATCTTCAGAACAGTGATGAGGTAGGTAGCATTATCCTCCTTTAATAAAACAGCCTTAGACTGGTTAAATAACTTATCCAAACTAGTTAGTAAGTGTTTTCATATGTTGGCTTATAAATGTTCAGATGTAAAATGAAGAAAACAACATTGACTTTGCAGCATTGTTCTGAAAATTGGTAACATCTAGCTCTACCATACAGGATATTATATAGGACAATTTAGTAGCAAATTTATAATCAGTTCCATTGATTCTAGAAAATTTCCCCCCGTTATTTCCCTTTTAAGTTGATTCTAGCTCTTTTCTTACAAAGAACAGAGTATCTTTGTTAATCTGTGCCTGCTGTCATTTCACCAAATTTGACAATCTTACTATTAGGAATGTTCTTTAGGAAAACTAGTTATATCCTGTTTGTCAAATCCATTAAGCTTTTTGCAGTCCTCAGACACCTTATTCTATCTCTATTTAACTTCTTCTAACCTTGTTTGAAATCTTTCCTGGAAGAAGTCCAAGATGGCAGCAGCATAGGAAGATGCCGAACTTGCCCCCTCCCATGAACACCAGACTATACACCTATATATAGATGCTCTGGCTGACTAGCATGTTCCAGCCACATCACCTGGAAACCACTCTAGCCCCAGAGAGCAGTGTCAACAGAGTGCTGCCACACTCATGCATACACCCAATGACTGTTCCTGTAGCCTACCCCCAAACAGCAGGATTAACAACTCACCAATACACTTAGACATGTGCACCAAGCCATCACTCCCAGAGCCTGCCATTGTGTGCACTGGGTTGCCTCTCCCATTGTCTAGCCCAGCCAGCCAGCACCCCAGGCACCATATGCGCCTACCCTTGGCTTCAATCTGCTTCCCCAAACCACCTGACACACCCATTCTACACAGATTGCTTCTACATGTGGCTGCTTTCTTGAGGTTTTGAGAGAACAATTTTATCTAATTTATATAACAAACAGAAAGACAGGCACAATGAGAAGACAAAGGAATATGTCCCAACTGAAGGAACAAGACCACCTCCCCCCAAAAAGAACTCTAATGAAATGGAGATGAGTAATTTGCCTGATAAAGAACTCAAAGAAATGGTCATAAGGATGTTCACCAAACTTAAGAGTAGAAGAGAGAAACTCAGGAAAAACTTCAACAAAGAGTTAGCAAGTATAGTAAAGAGCCAATCAGAGCTAAAGAGCACAATAACTAAAATGGAAAAGTACACTATAAGGAATCAACAATTAGATAATACAGAAGAAGAGATTAACAAACTGGAAGACAGATCAATAGAAATCACCCATTTAGAACAGCAAAATTAAAAAATATAAAACTAGTGTCTGGCCAGTGTGGCTCAGTGGTTGAGTGTCAACCCATGCACCAGGAGGTCATCAGTTTGATTCCCAGTCAGGCCACCTGCCCAGGTTGTGAGCCCAGTCCCCGGGGGGGGGGGAATGTAGGAGGTGGCTGATCGATGTTCTCTCTCATCAGTGTTTCTGTCTCTCCCTCTCTCTAAAAGCAATAAAGAAAGAAAAAAATTTTAAATATAGAACCAGTTTAAGGGACTTCTGGTACATCAAGCACATGAACATTATAGAGATCCCAGAAGGAGAACAGAGAGAGAAAGGGGCAGAAAGTATATTTGAAGAAATAATGCCTGAAAACTTTTCTAATCTGGGTAAGGAAAGAGACATCAGGTCCAGGAAGCACAGATTTTCAAACAAGATTAACCAAAGTGACATACACCCATACATATTGTAATTAAAATGGCAAACTTCAAGATAGAGACTTGAAGAAGGAAAACAACTAGTCACATAAAAGGACAGCCCCAAAGGTTATCAGTGGGTTTATCAGCAGCAACTCTATAGCCAAGAAGGGAGTGGCAGGACATCTTTTAAGTGCTAAAAGAAAGGAATCTACAACCTAGAATACTTTCCTGGCAAGGTTATTCAGAATTGAAGGAGAGAGAAGAGTTTCCCAGACAAGAAAAAAGTAAAGGCATTCATAAAACCACCCAATCTGCTTTACAAGAAATGTTTTAAGCATAGAAGAAAAGACAACCATAAATATTTGAAAGAATGAAATCTCAAAGGTAAAGACAAATACGTATTAGACATAGTGAGTTAACCATTTAAAAAGCAAGTACAAAGGTCAAAAGATAAAAATAGCAAGCTCAGCCCTGGCCGGTTTGGCTCAGCGGTTAGAGCGTCGGCCTGCGGTCTGGAGAGACCCGGGTTCGGTTCCCGCTAAGGGCATGTACCTTGGTTGCAGTTTGTCCCCGGCCCTGGTTGGTCGTGCGGGTGGCAGCCCCTCGATGTGTCCCTTCACGTCGATGTTTCTCACTCTCTCTCCCTTCCTCTCTCTCCCTCCCATTCTATCTGTACCAAAAATGGAAAAAATATCCTCGGGTGAGGATAAAAAAAAAAAAAAAAAAAAATAGCAAGCTCAGTTATAAACAAAGTACACACAAAACAAAAAGATCAAATAGTATGACATAACAAAGAAAGCTGGCATGATGGGATATAGTGCTTTTAGAATATTCAAACTTAAATGCCTATTAGCTTAAAATGCACCACAAACCAGTAACCTACAAAAGATACACAAAAAGTAGAAATGAACCCAAACAAAACACTAACGAAAACCACAAGGAAAGAGAACAATAGAAGAAAGTAACAGAACTACAAAAACAACCAAAAAACAGTTAACATAATGGCAATAAGTACATACCTATCACTAATTTCTTTCAATGTAAATGGATAGAATGTTCCAATCAAAAGCACAGGGTGGCTGAATGGATTAAAACTAACACTCATCTACATGCTGCTTATAAGAGACTTCAGATGGAAACACACTGTCTGAAGTGAAAGGGACAGAAAAAAAGTCCATGCAAATACAAACAAGCTGGTATAGCAGTGTTTGTATCAGACAAAATAAACTAAAGACATAAGAGACAAAAAAGGGGGGGGGGGGCATAACAATGATAAAGGGGTCAGAACAAGATGATAAAACAATTGTAAATATCTACACACCCAACATAGAAGCACCTAAATGTAAAAAGCAAATATTAATGGACATAGTGGAGAGGTTGACAAAAAAAGAACAATAGTAGGGAATTTAGTGTCCCACTTAAATCTGTGGAGAATCATCCAGACCAAAAAACAAACAAACAAAAATCAATAAGGAAACAATGGTCTTAAATGTCATGTTAGATTAGACTTTTATGAAACATTTCACCAAAACCTACAGGGAAAAAACAAACATGTTTTCAAGTGTACATGGAACATTATCCAGTACAGAGTACAAGATTAGGGCACAAAACAAGTCTCAATAAATTTAAGAAAAATGAAATCGTATAAAGCATATTTTCTGATCATAGCGTGTGAAACTAGAAATCAACTACAAGATAGAAATTGGGAAAAAAAAATACACAAACACATGGAGACTAAACATGCTACTGAACAACAAATGGACCTAGAGAAATCAAACAGGAACTCAAAAACTATCTTGAGACAAATGAAAATGAAAACAACTTTCAAAATCTATAGGATATAAGAAAAGCAGTTTTAAGAGGGAAGTTTGTGCCTCTTTAGGCCTACCTCAAACAAAATCCAAAAAAAAACAATCTAACTTTACACCTAAAGAAAATAGAAAAAGATCAAACAAATCCCAAAGTAAACAGAAGGAAGACAATAATAAAGATCCAAATGGAAATAAATGAAATAGAGACTAAGAAAAGAATAGAAAAGATCAATGAAACTTAGAACTGGTTCTTTGAAAAGATAAACAAGAACAACAAACCTTTAGCCATATTCAATTTTTAAAAAAGCCCAAATAAAATCAGAAATGAGAGACATTACAACTGACACCACAGAAATATAAAGAATCATTAAATAATACTGCAGACAACCATACACCAACAAACTGGAAAACCTGTAAGAAATGGATACATTTTTAGAAACCAAAACTTCCAAGGCTGAACCACAAAGAAACAAAATTGAAAAGACTGAGTATTAGCAATAAAATTGAAGCACTAATAAAAATTTTTTTTGACTCCCAACAACAGTCCAGGGCTCTGCAGCTTCCTACATGAATGTTACTAAACATTTAAAGAATTATTAATACCTGCCCATCTCAAACCATTCCTAAAAATAGAAGAGGAAAGAAAGATTCCAGACTCATTCTATCAAGCCAGCAGTTATCCTGGTACTAAAACCAAGCAAAGACATTGTAAAATGAATTATATGCCAATACCCCTGATGAATATAGATGCAAAAATTCTAAACAAAATTTTAGCAAGCTGGATTCAACAATACATTGAGCCCGAATAGTGTGACTCAGTGGATCGAGTGTTGTCCCATGGACTGAGAGGTCCCAGTTCAGTTCCCTGTCAGGGCACATCCCTGAGTTGCAGACTTGATCCCCTGTGGGGGGTGTGCAGGAAACAGCCAATCGATGTCTGATCAATGTCTCTCACATTGATGTTTCTAGCTCTCCCTCTCTAAAAATAATCAATAAAAACATATTACAAATAAAATAAACAATACATTGAAAGGACTGTACACCATGATAATGTAGGATTTATTCCAGGGATGTAAGGATGATTTGATATCTGCCAAACAGTCAACAGGATACATCAACAAATTCAAGAGTAAAAATATGATCAGCTGAATAGATGCAGAAAAAAACATTTCACAAATTCAATGTCCATATATGATAAAAGTCTTCAACAGTAGGTAAAGAGGGAACTTCCATACCTCAACATAATACAGGCCATATGACAAAACCATAGCTGCTATCATATGCAATGGTGAAAAGCTGGAAGCTTTTGCTCTAATTAGAAACAAGCCAATGACCCCTCTCACCAGTTTTATTCAATATAATACTGGAAGTCCCAGCTACAGCAATCAGGCCAAAAAAGAAGAAGAAATATCCAAGTGGAAAAGGAAGAAGTAAAACATTTCTCTGCAGCTGACATGATGCTATATATTGAAAACCCCAAAGACGCTACCAAAAAAACTATTCGAACTAATAAATGAATTCAGTCAAGTTTCAGGACACAAAGTTAATACACAGAAATATGTTGGGTTTCTATATACTGATAACAAATGATCAGAAGGAAAAAAATAAGAAAGTAATCCCATTTACAGTTACATCAAAAGGAATAAAATACCTTGGAATAAATTTAACCACCAAGGTGAAAGACCTGTATTATGAAAACTACAAGTCCCTGAAAAAAGAAATTATAGACGCTACAAATAAGTGAAAGGATATTCCATACTCATGGATTGGAATAATTAATACCATTAAAATGTCCACACTATCCAAAGCACTCTGCAGATTCTGTGCAGTCCATATGAAAATACCTATGGCATTCTCAGAACTAAGATAATATGAAAATTCATATGGAACCAGAAAAGACCCCAAATAGCCAAAGCTATATTGAGAAGAAAGAACAGAGTTGGGGGTATCACACTCCCTGATTTCAAACTGTACTACAAAGTATAATAAAACAGTTTGGCACTGGCATATAAACAGAACTTAGATCAATGGAACAAAACAGAGGTCCCAGAAGTAACCTCTTGCTTATATGGACAAATAAAACACAACTAAGGATGCAAGAATCTGCAATGGGGGAAATGATCATTTTTTTCCAATATCTGGTGCTGGGGAAATTGGACCACTTTCTTACACCATATACAAAAATAAATTCAAAATGGGTTAAAGACTTAAATGTCGGAAATAAATCCATAAAACTTCTAGAAGGAAATACAGGCAGTAAATTCTGACATTGGTTTCAGCAGCATTTTGTGGGGTATATCTCTTCAGGGAAGAAAAAATAAATAGGACTGTATCAAGCTAAAATTTTCTGCACTGTGAAGGAAACCATCAACAAACTGAAAAAGCAACACACTAATTGGGAGAATATATTCACAAATGACCCATTCGATAAGGGGTTAATACCCAAACTATATCAGGAACTCTTGCAACCCAACGTAAAAAAATAAAAAATAAAAAAAACCTGATTAATTATGGACAAACCTTTCTCCAACAAAGACATATGGATGGCCAACAGTATGTGAAGAGATGCTCAACGTCATTAATCCTCAGGGGAAAATCAAATCAAAAGCTCAATGAGGTATACCACCTTAACAATGGTCAGAATGGCTATCATCAAAAAGTCAATAAATGTTGGGAAGGAGGTGGAGAAAAGGGAACCCTCATGCACTGGTGTGGGCTTGTAAATTGTTGCAGCCTCTATGGAAAACATTATGGACATTCCTCAAAAAATTAAAAAATCAAATATTTAACTGCTGTATGACCCAGCAATTCCACTTGTAGTTTTATGTGAGGGAAACAAAAACACTAATACATGCACCCCCTCCATATTCACTGCAACATCTTTTCAAATAGTTAAGATATGTAAGCAACCTAGGTGTCCATTGATATATGAAAGGAAAAAATGTGCAATATACATACAAAAATGGAATATTTCTCAGCCATAAAAAAGAATAAAATCTTGCCATTTGCAACAACATGGTTAGATCTCAGAGGTATTATGTTAAGTGAAAAAAGTCAGAGAAATACCATATGACTTTACTTAGATGTGGAATCTTAAACAAAATGGCAATAGGTCCATAGGTAAAGAAAACAAACTGAGGGGAAGCCGAGGATTAAAGAGGTGGCAGTGAATAAGAGATACATATTTTTTGTTATAAAATAAGCCACAGGGCCCTGGCTGTCAGCCCATGGACCAGAGAGACCCGGGTTCAGATCCTGCTAAGAGCACTTATTTTGGTTGCAGTTTGTCCCCAGCCCTGGTTGTGGTTGAGTGGGTAGCAACCAGTCGATGTGTTTCTCTCACAACGATGTTTCTCTCTCTCTCTTCCTCTCTCCCTCCTGCTCTATATGAAGATAAATGCATAAAAATGTCCTTGGGTGAGGATAAAAAATAAAAAAAAAATAAGCCACAGGGCTATAGTGTACAGCACAGGCAATATGTCAGTAATCTAATAACTACAGAGAAGATGGTTACCCGACTTATAGTGATCACATCGTAAGTTACTTAAGTGTGAAATTATTGTGTTGCATGCTTTAAACAAACATAATATTGTGTGCCAACTATACTTTAATAATTTTTTTAAAATAAAAATTAAGTAAAACATTTTCTCCCTTAGATTCCATAACTTTTTAAAAAATTAATATTTGTCACTGACATTGTCCTGTTAGACTCCAAATGGGCTTTCCATCTCTGGTCCCTTTTCCTCCACCTGCTCCCTAAATGTAGATGTGCCCCAATGTTTCTACTATAGACCTGTTGTTACTCTTCTTTAATGATCCTGCCCACTCTCATGCTTTCATGTTTATTTATCAGTCAAAGTAAGTTTCGACAAAGGAACTAAAAACATATAAATGACAGTCTCTTCAATAAACAGTGTTGGGCAAACTGGACAGCCATGTGCAAAAGAATGAAACTAGACCCCAATTTAACACCATACACAAAAATCAACTCAAAATAAATTAAAGACTTGAATATATGACCTGAAACCATAAAACTAGAAGAAAACATGGAGGTAAACCTTGTTGATATTGGTCTTGGAAGTATTTTTTTGCATTTGACACCAAAAGCAAAAGCAGCAAAAGCAGAAATAAATGGGTGGGGCTATATCAAACTAAAAGCTTATACGCAGCAAAAGACAGCTTCAAAAAAAAAGTGAAAAGGCAACCTTCACCAAATGAGAGAAAATATTTGCAAATCACATATCTGATAAGGCTTAATAGCCAAAATATATAATGAATTCATGCAACTCAACTGAAACAAAAACCCTAAATGATGTATGTACCCTGTCCATCTTCCAAGGTTTATCACAACCAAAAAGTGTGAAGTCCTTTGTGAAGCCTTATCCTTTATCCTCTTTACCCTCTGCCATCTCCCTAAAATCATATGAAAGGTCCCCCTTTTCTGAAACCTTGAAAAGGTACTGGTCTCCCTCGAGGAATTAAAGATCATGAATGAAAGGGCAACCTACAGAATGGGAGAAAATATTTGCAAATTACATGCTTGATAACGGTTTAATATTAAAAATATATAAAGGACTCATAAAACTCAACAGAAAAAAAAAAATCTGACTGAAAAATGGACAGAGGATCAAACAAATATTTTTCCAAATAAGACATCATAACAAATGGCCAACAGGTTCATGAAAAGTGCTCAGCATCACTAATCGTCAGGGAAACAATGAAATATTTCAAATGTGGCTGTCATCAAAAAAAGATAAATATTTGTGAGGATTTGGAGAAAAGGGAACCCTGGTGCATTCTTGGCAGATATATAAATTGATGCAGCCACTACAGAAAATTGTGAAGATTCTTCAAAAGATTAAAATAAAACTACTAAAATAAATAAATAAATAAATTAAAATAAAACTACCATATGATCCAGCAATTCCACTGCTGGCTATATACCTGAAGGAAATGAAATCACTCTCTCAAAAAGATATCTGCACCCCTGTGTCCATTGCAGCATTATTTATAATAGCCAGGACATGGAAACAACCTAAGTGTCAGTCGATGGATGAATGGATAAAGAAAACATGGTTTATACATTTATATAATGAAATATTATTCATCCATAAAACAAGAAGAAAAATCCATTTGCAACACACATGAACCCTAAGGGCATTATGCTAAGACAGACAAGTTGGAGAGAGAAGCACCAATATTGTATGATCTCACTTATATGTGGAAGCTAAACAAATGTCTAACTCATAGAAACAACACACTGGTGATTGCCAGAGGTGGAGAGTGGAAGGTGAGAGAAACGAGTAAAGGTGAACAAAAAACAGAAACTTCTAGTTATAAGGTAAATAAGTCCCTGGAGATGTAAAGTATAGTAGGGTGTATTATATATTTGAAAGTTGCTAAGAGTAAATTTTATAACTTGTCATAAAAAGTAAAAAACAAATATGTGAGGTGGTGTATGTTAAGATACTGTGATAAGTTAGCAATATTTTATTACATGTATAAAATCATTGTTGTACACTTTAAACTAATACAGTATTAAATGTCAGTTATATCTCAATCACGAAAAAGAAAAAAGAAAAATATATCCTCACTAACGGTTTGATCCAGAAGTCCATCCATTAGGAAAATCTTGTGAATTATGTTACTCTAGTCTTCATCTATGCCGAGGTGCCAGGACTATTTTGGGGGTAGAGGTTGTCCCCAACAGAGCAAGCATAACCCCCTTCTGCTCACTTCTGCCAGGAAGGAAGAACACCTTTGTAGGTGGCATTCGTGGAAGTGAACAAATTATGATATAGAAAATAAGGGAATGGAAAAAAAAAATTGTAAAGTGTTGGAGGTGTTAAAATACTATTTATAAAGATTTCTAGATTTTCAAAATTCATCTCCATTTTGAATAGGGTTCTTTCTTAAGTATCATTTTCGGGACGCAGGATGAGGTTTGGTGGCTGAACTGGCTGCGCAATGGGAGCTCAAGCCTCCTTCCGTGTGTAAACACCCTTCAGTAGCAGCGCTGCGAAAAAGTGACCTCACTGAACCACTTGAACAAACTTCAAAAGGGACTTTCACCACTCACCTGGATACAAGCCAGAGGCTCATTTGTCCAAATTGAATATCCACCAACTAAATATATTCTCTCATTATGGACAGCAATTCCAGATTCATTTTGGCCTAGAGTAAAGAGAATTGAATAAAAAGAAAAAATAAATCCATCTCCTTGCATGTTTTAATTAACCCTTTGCCACTGAGGGATTGAGTTTCCCCTGTGGCAGACTTGTATACTCCACAGGATTTTTGCAGCAACTAATCACTGCCTCCCAGTAATCAGAGGGGAGAATTAAGCATCATCTCTCAGAGAATGGATCTGTGTCGGATCAGAACCAGGCCAGAGTACTTATTGGCTAGCCAAGTTAGTAAATACAGCATGAAATACAGCAATAATAAACCATTTAGAACTAAGAGTTTTATATTGTCATATGCCATACATTTACAGTGGTGGAAATAAGGTATATTTTAGAAATGCAAAACACCTCCTGCACTGCAAATACTTTTAAGGCAGGTGCTTACATTTGTAAAGGAACAGCTGCAACCCCAAGAAACCAATAAAACAGAGCCATGCCCCTAGCGTACCCCAAATGAAGACAAATGACAAAACAGATAAAGTTACTACCCTCTTTCTTTACATACACACAGTATTAAGACTATATTAAAGTTCCTGAGCTGAAACCGGCCTGGATAGTCCCCAGATTCTGACACACAAAAATGATGAAAGGTTCCTTCCCCGTTTAAAAAGGAAGAGAGAATAACACTACCACGTCTTCTCCCCTGGAGGCCATCAAAGAGTGAGATAGTCTCTTTATGGATGGGCTGACCCAGGATGGACTTGGGTAATAAATAAGTTGGATCCTATAGCAGACAGAAGTTCAGACCCAGGGACCGAGGGGCTCGGGTACAACTATAGCAACTTCGAGTTAAGAACTTATCAGCCGACCACAAAAATAATTTTTGCAAAAAAAAAAAAAAATAGCAGCTCAATACAAAACACTTGAACCTCTCACAGTGGTTATGCACCTAATGGTGCCTCCCCAGCAGCCGCAGTGGGTGACGGGGTGCCCACTTGGCATATTGAAGTGTCTCCGGGTGCTAGGCCAGCCCAGCATTTTGAGCCTGTTAAAGCAGCCTGGAAGGGTGCTGTAGGTGTTAATAACACAAGCTGATGACAGAGAAATTGTTTTCAACTCCATAAAGAAACGTCCAGCCCTGGCCGGTTTGGCTCAGCGGTTAGAGCATTGGCCTGCGGTCCAGAGAGACCCGGGTTCGGTTCCCGCTAAGGGCACGTACCTCGGTTGCAGTTTGTCCCCGGCCCTGGTTGGTTGTGTGGGTGGCGACCACTCGATGTGTCCCTTTCACATCGATGTTTCTCTCTCTCTTCCTCTCTCTCCCTCCCACTCTACCTGAACAAAGAATGGAAAAATGTCCTCGGGTGAGGATGATAAAAAAAAAGAAAAAAAAGAAACGTCCAGAGTATGCAGTTCCCTGCCTGACTTTCATTCCCTTTTGGGAGGAGGAAGGTCCACACTCAGTGTTGCCCTGGGGAAGGCTAAGGCTGGGACGTGTGTGGGCGACCAGAAATGCCGCCAAACCCCTACGCACAGAACGGCTCGAGGGGGTCGTCCTCAGGAGAAAACAGCCAGAAACATTCCTCAGTGAGAAATAATTAAGACCATTCTCTTGAACTCACAAGAAATGAGGACTAAAAGTAATGAGAAGTAAAAAATGAATGGCTTCTGTAAAGAGTCATTAACTCCTGCAGCACCGGGTCCCTCCTGTTGTATCAAAGCTCCTATGTGAATACATTGATAGCAATGGACTTGGTATGCCTCTCTCAGCCTCACCAGGACACACACAATGGTCAGAAAGGCCCTGAGAACTAGATGCTCAGCCACCTGATCAAATGACATTTTGCGACATAAACAATGTGCGCCTTTCTAGTTAAGAAGAGCACGTTGCTCTATCACCATGCACTTAGTATTTAGAGAGGCAGCTTCCCGAATCTCTGCTTTTCCTGATTTAACCAAAGGTACTTGCCAGTCAACAGGTTGAAATTACAACGCGTCCATTGGTCGGTGTCTATGTTGTAAGAATCTATGTGCCGCACCAGGATCCGGTCGTTGTTATAGTCCAGGTCATTGCCGCCAAGGACATAAAGCTTCCTGTGGACAGCTGCCATGGAATGGTAGACCCTTCTCTGTAGCATGGGGCTGCGGCTTATCCACTTATTCTGAGAAAAAAATTCAGGTGAATTCTGTTAATAGGAGAACTTCATGGCAGAGAACAGCTGTGCAGCGTTAGTAGTGGGGACCCTAATGCTTGTCAATCACCTTCTATTTAAATGTTGTTTATTTACTTTGAAAGGTATGGGCTTCTTTCCTAAGAACAGGTGCAGAAACACCCACATATTCCAACTCTGTTTATCAACTTACATAAGGTATATCCTCTTGTTTGGGTTGCATTTTACAGGGTTTTTGCATTTGTAAGGAAGACCTATGAAAATACAGAAATTTAGAGAACTTGCTCATGCAAATTACTTAAGAGTGAAGGTACATGGCTAGGTATACTGTCTACAGGGTTGTAGTGATTAAGGAACAGGCTCTGGATCTAAAATATCTGAGTGTATAACCTGTGTGTCACCTGGGCACTTAACCTCTCTGTGCCTGTGTCCTCCTCTGTCAGCTGGGGATGATATTCACCTGACAGGCCTGCTGTGCAGGTTAAATGCGCTAATATATATAAAGCATTTCAAACAGATCATCACACATAATAAATGTCTAATAAATACACACTTTTTAAAATGTATTTGTAATAATCACTGGCTATCCAAGGCCCCTACATAAGCTGGGGTGAGGGTGGCTTTGCTCTTCTGAGAATAACCTCTTGGGATCAATGAAAGAGCTAAGATTTGGTTCAGCAACAAATTCTTACATTGCCTTGCATCAGCCTCCTTTGATATATTTACAGTCACATTTTGTGTCAAACTGAGAGAAGTTGTTTCTAGGCATACATTTGTTTTGGTAGCAGGCCAAGTTTTATATGATAACTTTAGGGAATATTTGGTTCTCAGTCATGAGAAAGATATGCTTGACCCCTCTTACAATAAGGCTCTTATTAAAAATGTAATGTAAAATAAGACTTTAATTTTAAATCCCAACAAAGTAATGGACAGGTAAGTACACCTAATCATTTCCTTTCTGCATAAACACAAAATATATAGGAACAACCCAGATTCCTTTTTGCCAGGAAAAATTTGGATTTCGACCAGAAAAAAAAAATCGTTTGATGTTTAAAATACATAGCATTTCACCAGTTCACAAAGCTGTAAAGGAAGAAGAAAAAAATGTTTTGTGTAAATATTGCTCCATTGACTAAAGGCATATCTACCAGCTCATTTCTAACTTCTCTTTTAAAGATACATTCGGAAAAAAAGGAAAAAAAGAAAATGAAAGTGGTTTGTACAACTTGAAAGGCTTACGTTTATTTATCTGCTTCTCCTTTTAAACATGTCACAATAAGAATCTTCCTATTAAATGTCTTCTTTAATAAAATAATCAAGCCTTTCAGGTATTCGCTAAGAAATAACTTTAATATATTACACATGAGTGGATTTAACTCAAAACTCTGATGATACTTTCCTTAGGAGTATTAGGAATCAGTGTTTGCATTAGCGATGCGGTCCCCTGCCATAGGACTGTGGACTCCATCTGGTTTGCAAAGCCTGCCTGCATCCCCTGATTAGATCTTTAGCTGCCTTCACTGCCGTGCCTGCCAGGTGAGCTGACAACCGCTGCAAAGGCAAAGAAACAGAGAGGCCTGGTGGGGTCATTCCTAATAAGCTAGCATGTGAATACTAATCAGTGTTGGGGAAGCAGAGGTCACCCCAGCCTGCCTGTTGGCAGGAGCAGTGTGCTCTGTGGCAGATGGCAGGCATTATCGACTCTCCACAAAGGCCTAGAAGAGAAATAAGCACCAGGGCTGAATGATAGAGTTATTGAGATTCCGAGCAAGATGCAAGCAGATGTGATGTTTGCCAGTACCCACCGTAAACAATATGCCAGCAGAATTTTTAAAAAGAGCATGTGTGTACAAACATGAAACAGAAGTCATTTGAGAAATGTTAACACCTTCTTCCTCTTTAACCACGTGCGCACTGAACTCAAGCAACTGCAATTAATGATCCCTCTCGAGACATCTGGCCCATGGACATGTGGTCTCTGAAATCTACAGCTTCTAAGGACATCAGGAAACGCACTTGCAAAGACAGAAATACCTTCATTAAATTCAGAATTAAGTAATTGTTAAAAGAAAAAAATTCCAAATAGACTGAGGTCACTTTGGACATATATTTATTTGGTGGCTAATCCCAAACCGGACAGTCAATGCCAGTCTGTTGTTTTGTGTTCCATTATCTTCAGCTGATGGACATTAAATCCCCAAATTCAATCATTTGACTATTGTCATGATCATGAAAAATATTTACATTATGAAAATCATATAAATAGCAAATTTCAGCAAATATTTGCTAAAGTCACAGATATTTGGTAGAAGGAAAGAGAATAAAAAAGGTTCTTTTTTGGGGGGGGGGAGAATAGGTTATGTGTGCCTGGGAAATGGGTAGAAGGAGGGACAGGCCCCAGCTATTAGGTGAAAAACAACCTTTTCCGATACTTCCACTTTGGACTTGTCCTAGACACTGTTCTAGGACATTTTGGCTATGTTGCATTAAATAAAAGTCATAATGAAACCATAAGAATGCCCCCCACCCCCAATGGCATGCCCTCTAAAAGGACATAGCAGCACGACAATCCAAATCTTTTCTTTGGATGCCTCAATATGAACAGCTACTTGAGATGAAGGAAATAGAAGGCATTTAACTCAACAATATATCTTCGCCTTTTTTTTCTATATTGTGCAAAACTCTGAAAGAGTTAAGCATTTTGTTAAGCATTAAACTAAAGGAGCTGAAATTGTATGAGAGAAAAAAAAAGTGAGCAAAATGCAACGTATCCAGATGGTCCCTTTTTTCTATATAGGTTTAGGATGCATGTTCGTGTGGAGACTTGGCATTCCAACTACTCATTACTGCAAACATCTTTTAAAATTCATTTTAATTAAGGTAACGAGCTCTTTTTATATGATCCTTACCTGGTTAGGTTCATATACCATTAGTCTGTTCTGATACTGTGCGGTGTTAGTTACTCCACCTGTAACGGATTAACGTGTTAGCGCTTTCATGAATAAGAAGTAGGGTATTCTAACGTAAGAATGAGATACAATTAAAGAAAAATTAGCTACTGCTGAGGATCTGTGTGTATACCCTTGTGGTGAACCCGTGACATAATTAAGAAGCTTGTTGTTGAAGCAGTTTCATTTTCAGGAAACATTTCAGAAGCGATGCAGTTGAGAGTTAGCAACAAGTATGCTGAGATTAGCAAGAGGTCCCGATTCTGGCAAGCTGCTCTGCAGGGCCAGAACGAGAGGAGCGTAGGGGAGGGAGTGGGAGTGATCACACGCGCAGACACATCTCTGCAGTCTGCGCCAGGAACATGATAGGTATGTGGAAAATTCTCGTCTTTAGCTAAACTGACAGCTCTAGCCTTCTATATACTCACAGTGATATCTTGATATCTCTTTAGAAGAACTGTATCTAAGAAAAGACATTACTTATCAAAAGAAATCTAGAGCTAGCTATCCAATAGAATATAGCAAGACCCATGAATGTGAGTCACATATGCAATTTTAACTTTTCCAGTAGCCACATTAAAAGTAAAAACAGTGAAATTCAACTAAACATAAATTTTATTTCATTCAAAATAGCAAAATATTATCTTGTCAACATAAAATTAATGTAAAAATGCTGAGATATTATATATATATATATTTTTTGGATACTAAGTGTTCAAAATCCTGAGAGTATTTGACACAGCATATCTCAATCCAGATTAGCCACATTTCAAGTTCTCAGTGAGCTACATGTGGCTAATGGTACCATACTGGACAGCACAGTTCTAGAGTACAGTTGCTGCTGTCCTGAACTTGTTTGAAGTCCTCTTGACAACTGCTTATATCCAAAAGACCTGAGACCTTCTGCTTAATCAAGAACCCCTAAAAAATCATTACTCACTAAGCTAAATTTCTCATACTTCTTTTCATGTTTGTGGTATACACTGAACCCTATAAAACCCAGAAATAATTGATTCTACTTTAATTTTTCCCATTAAATGGAGAAACAAACAAACAAACAACAAAAAGAAAAACAGAAAAAAATAACACAAAACAAATAACAGAGAGAAATGAGCTGCTTACCCTCAAAAAAAAAGAAAGAAAAGAAAAAGAATTCTCTGTTTCTCATTGAATGTCTCATTTTAAAAATGAGAAGAACACACATTTGAGAATGCTGAGGCTGAAATGCCTACACAGAGTCAAAATGTATCTCAAAATAAATACAGAGGAATGTTTGCTTTTTCCTCCCAACCTTCCTTTTCTTATCTGATTAAAAATTGAATGTCCAATAATTCTTTCTACACAAAATAATCAAACCTATTGAGACCTCGCAAGTCTTCAGTGGTAAAACGATTGCCAAGTTTTGATCTGGGCCATAATCGCCAGATTAATGTCCAGCTCACCTATAATTACTTCTCCAAATGAGAGGGAACGGAGGGCAAAGCTCCCACCCACTATTTCAAAACCCTGATGGTTTATCTACTTGTTTTAGAAATATGGGACAGAATTAATATCTACAGCAGTAAACTATCTGTTTGTGACACTATTTGAAAATATTTACACTACTATATGTACCTGACTCTGCCCATTATAGATTAAATGCACAACCAATGGATTAGAATGTAGCTATTACATCCTCTCTCCCAAGCAGGGCACACAGTTTATCTTTATGCTCTTCAGAATTATTATTTACTGTCTTCCACAGATGCACCAGCTGCATTAAAATAAAGTGTGTGTTTTTTTTTTCTTAATCTGCACTCAGTAATTAGATTCCTTACTCTGACATACAAATTTTCACTCACATGACAATGTTTAGAAATGAGATATTGGGTTACTAGTTGGGAGTAAAAATAGAAGTCCTAGTTAGTGATGTGGTTGATTACTTCTAGAATGTTAAACCACAGGAGGCGCCTAAAATACCCAGTGTTGTAACTTTTGCCAAGTCAGAATTGCAAGGGAAAACCTTAGCAATTGGTTTTATTGCGTTTCCCCTTTGAAATAATTAATGCACACACATATAAATAAAAACAATTTCTTCTCAGCACAAAAAAATAAATTTTTAAAGAAGCACCCAAGTTTGCCGTCCACATTTCTTTAGCAGTGTTCCTCATCGGCAGGGCTTTGTCATTCCATTCCCTTCACATAACACTCCTCACTTTGAGATTCATCTGCTGAAATGAGATGCTAGGGATTTGCATACAGATTTGACTATACAAAAATAGATATGGAATTAATAACAGTCTCTATATGTTTTAATTTCTCCCAGACTGGAGTACCCTTGCCTGCAGCAGTATTCCTGGCTTTGAAAGTCATCAAGCTGATTTGTCTGCTCTGGGTTATGGTGCCACATGCTGCTATACTGTCCCCGGCAATCAAAGGCTTGCAAAGATAGATATTCCATGCCATCGAGTATATTTTATAGATTGGCAGTTTTGATCTCCCTCCCCCACCCCAGGGGGAATAATCTGCATCTTAACAGCTTTCTATAGATACATCTGTCATTAAATATGCCATTTTGTATCAGCTTCCATTTTTAAAGCCAAGTTTTCCCTAACTTTGAACTGCCATAGTCAAAGTTAAGACTTTCAGCCAAAATTGAAAATGAACAACCCTGTCTTATACTTTTGCACTGTGACTTCAAGATATACTGCAAGTTCCCCCAAAGTCAAATAAGTCTTTAAAAACTGCCAGAAGGAATGAAAAGTTACCACCATGCTACCAGCAGTGAGCAATGCTTTCTATCATCAAGACAAGAGTAAAGCATTTTTCTTACGCTTCCCTGTTCCACTCCCCACAAAGTGCTGTGACAAATGGATGAATGCATACTGGAGAGAGGATGACAGGTGGCTGCCAAACAAGCAGTCTTTGTCTCCACTGCTGAGAATTCACCGACTCCCAAACATCACTCTGTTTAAGAGCAACAACTGGTCAGTGCTGGCGGTGTCTATAAAATAGTGTGTTTAGGAAAAACAGCATTCAATATATGTTGATAAGAGTAGGTCAAATCTGAAAGCAGCTCTGCTAATTTTTTTTTTTCACGGACAGAAAATACCTCCGTTGACAGAGGCCTACACTAGTACAGCACGAGAACCTTTACTAGGACAAGCAAGATGCAAACTACAGAGGGTGCGCGTGCCCTGAGGGAAGACGCTCCAGGCTGCAGTTCTGCTGGCCAGTTCTGGACTGAGCAGAACCATCACCAGTTCCCGGCGAGGCTCCCGGACGACTGCCGTGCCCAGCTCCATGCTCGTCAAGGGAGACAGTTTCTGGGCAGGGTGTGGCATCAACAGGCTCCTTTATGACTCTGTTCTTGGGGGGACCATTTAACACAGCCAAATTTAGGTTCCTTATAATCAACACGGATGAAATCTCTCTTGTTGGTTTGAGATGAACTATAATGCATGGTATAGAGGCAATCTACACAAGGAACTTTACTACAATACTGCGCTAGTTTGTTTATGAAAATGTCTTACCATTTTCTTAAAAGGCACAAATGAGTAAGTATGGAATATTGAAAAAATAAGTATGGAGTACTGAACTAATAAGAAATGAATTCTGTAGTCTGAAATAGACTTCTTACAACTCTTTCTTTCTAATAACCAGAATTACTTTCTTTCTAATAAACCAGAATTGCTGGCTTATAAGGATATCAAAGGCTTTTCCTTTCTTTAACAGTTTAAGTATTGCCCTGGCTGGTTTGGCTCAGCAGTTAGAGCGGTGGCCTGTGGACCAGAGAGGCCCGGGTTCGGTTCCTGCTAAGGGCATGTATCTTGTTGCAGTTTGTCCCTGGCCCTGGTTGGGGTTGTGCGGGTGGCAGTCACTTGATCTGTCCCTTTCACGTCGATGTTTCTCTCTCTCTCCCTCCCTCTCTATCTGAAGATAAATGCAAAAAAAAAAAAAAAAAAGTCCTCAATTGAGGATTTTAAAAAAAGAAAAAAACTTAGTTTAAGCATCTTCTTTGTAAACTTGCTTCAGTTTTCAAAATATAAAACTTCACACTTATATCTAATTACCAAACACTAAAACTTCACGCTTATATCTAATTACCAAAAGAATGGCCTGGCATTAGGTGTGAGCTAATATTAGTCGTTTTTTTATAGAGACAAACTCATTATTAGTCTTTGATAAAAGGGACACTATGGGAATATTTGCAATAAATGCAAAAATAAGCTTTTATTATCTATTTTACACATTAGACTGTCCATATTTTTGGAATGTTTATAATGCTACATAAACAATTAAAGCCAAGAATATTTCTACTAAATTAGCATCTTGAATAGAACTATACTTAATCCATGCATTAAATTAAAACTAGTATCCATATTATTTCTGTCACACTTGAGCAAATCACACAAATGGATGGCAAATTAATATACTCAAAATCCGCAAAGAAAGTCTCAAATTTACAAAACATCTATAAAGAAAGTGTTGATGCACTTGAAAACAAATTATATTTATGTCGTCTAGAGTGAACATATATAAACTTGTGATCCCCAAATATGTAAAGTACGCCCAATGTGCTATTTTAAATAAATGAAATGATACACAAGGGTAAAATCTACCACAATGTGAGTGTCAGCTGCCCTTCAAGATCTCAGTAAAATGCCCTCTCCCATTCCTCTTTCTGTAAAAAGCTGAAATCCTGCCTCCAAAGATTCTGCATGCTCCTAGCATGAGCTCTCAGGATCACCTGTTTGTCTCTGTTGTCCTAACTTAGCTGCCTTGTTGTCGGATATTTTATCTCCCTCCTGCCATTAACTAAATTCTTCAGCCATTCCCCATTTCCATGATGTAGCTTTACTTTTGTCTCACCTCTTACAGAATAGGGAAAATGATTTATTTTCTACATTCTTAGAAAATAATTTAGCTCATTCTATATTTTACCTTCTTTTTCCACATCCATCTAGTCTAGACAGACACAAGTAGATCATCTAAACAAAGACTTTTCTCTACATGACAAGAATTTTGCAGTCAATGGGAT